TCGTGGAACTAATCGGCACTTTGGTTCTCCCTGCTGCTATCGCGTTCACCTTCTATGTCGGTAAGTAAAATCATTTCCAGCATGAGACAATCACTGACAATCACAGTTATTACATCCATTATCCACTCGCCACCACAGATCATTCCCCTGGTTCTCTTGGGCCTGATTCTTGGTCTACCTGGTCTTCTCGTCGTCATCACTGCACACTCCTGGTCATATATTGTTTGGATGCTTATCTACCTGCTGGCACTGCCAATCTGGAACTTTGTTCTGCCTACTTATGCTTTCTGGAAGTTTGATGACTTCTCATGGGGCGAGACTCGAAAGACAGCTGGTGAAAAGACGAAAAAGGCAGGCCTCGAGTATGAGGGTGAGTTTGACAGCAGCAAGATTACCATGAAGAGATGGGCCGAGTTCGAACGCGACAAGCGCTCGAGAAGCGGCTACTGGGGTTCACGTGAGAACGTTGTTGGTGGTGGTGGAAGCTGGACCAGCCCTCCTGGTCACCAGTATAATGAGGAGTATTTTTCTGATGCTTAATTTCGGGGACATCGGATTATGGGGGAAAATATGTTGAGAGCGAAGGGTATTTTGATGATGGAATGCGTGCACATATATGTAATAAGGGGTAACATTCTTGAGGCCAAGTATTTATGTTTTGATGCCCGGGGTGGGCGTTGGCGGACAAAGGTCCTACTTTTGTTTAGAGTCAGTTGGATTGGAGATGGCGTTATTCCAGCGACTACTTGTGAATAGTATAATTCGAATGGTTTTTAAAAGGAAACCTAAGTATTCTAAGTTCGTAACGAAGTGCTAGTTGTCATGTCAAGGATATTATAACGCAGGTCTAGAGACTCACAGGTATGCATTATTCAGGCTTCTATTACTTAAGGGCCTTTCGCTATCACTTGTGGTAAAGAAATTATCCTACAGCTGTTTTAGAGTGATTATTAACAATAACTCATGCTCCAAGCAGGATATCACCAACTCTCGATCTTTGCAATCCAATAAAATTTCAAGATAGAATTTCCAACAAGACACAAGCAGTTGTCATTAAGAGGCTGTTCAACCCAAAGCCAAAGACTAAGGTAACTATTCCATCAAGTCCAAAACTCCTTGCGCCATGCACATCTTCTCGTAACGCCCACGAGCCGCAAAAACCAACGAGCGACTCAGTGTCATAACCCTACATGGAATACATCATTTGTTCACGATGGTCGTCAACAAGAAATAGACAAAAAACGCCTCGCTCTCCTCATGCCATATCATGACTCTTGCTTCCTTGAGTGATCTACATCCTCCCCGAGTTCCCAAGGCTTTCGAGGGTCGACATAGGTCGAGATACGCTGATCTCCCCATCGAGCTCCAACGGTTACCCACACATGTTTTTGGGGCGCGTGGTTACTGATGGTTTCTCGATGACCACCCCAACGAAGACGGGATTCTCGACTCATTTGACTGTTGCCCAGGCCGCCATTGGTTACCCATTCCTTCACGACATCCTTGATAAAGACAATCTTGCGTCGGAAATCATTGGCAGCGGGAATACCCTGCAACTCAGGTGCAATCTCAGGACGTCTTCTCGTTGTGGTTGTGGTTCGGCCAGCGCGAGGGGCTGCAGGCTTTGCCTGGAAGTTTAACAATGTCTGCAGAGGGTACGATAGCATCGCTCGGTCATCAAGTGCAGCGGCGCCGATAGTGCCAGTTGCTGCAAGTCTCTCGGCAGCGTCTTGAGGGAGATGCCAGAAGTGACACCAGGTCCCTGTATGATCGATTACAATCTTTGTATGATCGGGGAAGTTGAACTGTACAGGTTAGCGTGATGTCGAAATCGCCCAGATCTAGTCACTTACTTGAAGATGGCCGTCGCAGAAGACCCAGCATCCAACATCTCCAAATCGCTGGTAAAACGTGACGAGCTCAGCTACTGTGCCCTTCTGCCCAGGAGACATGGCACCAGCCGGGTCGGTCTCTTCAGCCGGCACGAAATCGTCCCGTCCAAAAGCAATCATGTAGTTAGCAAATTTCTTCCAGAGAATAATTCTCTCGCGCTTCCGATGCTGAAAGATGTCCCTACCAGGCTGCATCTTGCCTGCAGTCCCATCTTCTTTGACAGCCACTCGAAATTGCTCAGGAGAGACGACTACCTCTGAAAGGCCAGCCTCGCCATTATTCTCGAAGAACTTGATGGGTTCCGTCATTGGTAGAGGTTGCACCCTGTCCTCGTATGTGTCGTCCTTAGCACGAACGATATGTCTCTCGGCACCGCGAATAAACACCCCAGCAGGAGGAAGCAAAGCAGGTTTGCCGTTTTCCGTGGTTGGGATATCTCGAAGAATGCATCCAACACTACCGTCATTTAGGATATATCCAAGGCCGAATTTGTTGGTGTAGTCAACCCATTTGACAACAACGTGCGGATGCGGTGGCGCAACAGTCTTGGATGATATTATAGCCATCGTCCTCGAGTTCAGAGCTCGTTCCAGTTCATTCTGAAGACGATGCAGGCGATCCAAAACCACGTCGGGCTTCGTTCCGGAGATTCTATCTTGCCGCTCGGAGGCGCTGAACAGTGTTGCAGGCCGCATGCCGGTAGTATCCTTCTTAGGGGGTGCAGCTGGTGCAGGAGGGACTGTGGTAGCTGGAGCAGATGCTTGACGGTCGAGCGAAGGTCGTTCAGAAAGTTGTCGCTCTGGAGGTTGCTGAGACGCCGCCCTTGCCGGAGGTGCTGATCGAGTCGAAGTTCGAAGGCTCTTGCCAACAGACTCAACAGTTTCCCTCGGAGGAGCTTCTCGAGGTAGTTCTTTTCGTGGTCTTGTACGTAAGCTCTGGGAAGATGAAAGAGTTGCTTCGGGGGCAGGACGAGGTTTCGCAGATACCATAGTGCCTGCTGGCCTGTGTTGCATTCTCTGCTGTGCGGCAAAACTTTGAGGAGGCTGACGAAGGAGGCCTGCCGGTGCTCTTTGAGTAGCCGACAAGGGGTCTTCGGTAGATATGCTTGCCTGTGCAGCCACAGATGCTGTGTACCTGGCCTTTATCTGCTGCTGCTCCTTCAGCCACTCTTCGAATGGTCTGTAGACGATTCCTTCTTCGAGAGGAATCATAGGTGTCAGTCCAGCCTTCTCCTCAGCGGCCATCTCCTTCCACGTCTGAGTGTGAACGACCTGAACTGGGGCGTAAGGGCCGATGCCACATTCTCGACACATGTCCTTGAAGTTCCTGTATGATTGTGCTTGTAAAGCACTGCTCATCCGAGTGGCGTAGAATTCCTCACGGTCCGGGGGGACTTCTCTAAGGCGCGAGCTCATTTCTGCTTCAGTAGGCATATAACCACAGGTGAAAAAGGGGTGTTGGATGATGTCCTCCGGTTCCGGTCGGCTTTCAGCATCCTGAAGCATCGTGGCAACTAGCTCCTTAGCTTCCTGGCTGATATATCTTCGTGATGATTCCGCAGACGGCCAATCATAATCCCTCTCTCGAGCTCGGCGGTAAATTTCATCTGTGGTCGAGGATTGAAACGGTGGTTTCGACGTGAACATGGCGTACATGATGATGCCCAGGCTCCAGATGTCAACCATATGATCATGCCCCTTCTTTCCTTTCTCCAGAATCTCGGGAGCAATGTAATTTGGTGTTCCGCACAAAGTTGTGCGACGGATGGTGTGCATATCCCGACCAGTCACCAACAGAGCGGCAAGACCAAAATCACCGATCTTCGCGTTCATCTGAGAGTCGAGGAAGATGTTGCCCATCTTCAGGTCACGGTGAATGATGCCCTTGTTGTGCATGTACTTGATGGCGCCAGCGATCTGAACTGAGTAAAAGCGGACTTCGGGCTCGGTGAGACCTTTCCTTCGCTTCACCATATCCATGAGAGAGCCGTTGGGACACAATTCGAGAATCAGATATGTGCATTTTTCGTACGAAAAAGCTCGTAGGAATTGAACGATGTTTTTGTGCTTCATCTTGGAGTGAATTTGGAGCTCGGTTTGGAACTGAAACGCGTTAGATGTGTGTCAATCTGTCTTCTATCTGCCACAAACCTTTTGTTCCATTTTGGGAGGCATGTGGCTCTTGACAATCTTCAGAGCAAATCGTTGCTTCGTGGGCAGTAGCTGGCCACTGTAGCAGACAGCGAAGCCGCCCTTTCCGAGCAGTTTGCCGACCTGATAAGTTGCTCCATCAGGTCGATCAGTGCTTGGAGGCTCGGGGACCTCTGTAGGCGGGGGCGGAGGGTGTTCCTTTTCCTTGGCGGCCTTGAGTTGGGCAGCCGTCTTTGTTTTGATATTGGTCACTTTAGGTACTCGCTGGGCGTTGGCATCCCTAGGGGACAAAGCCTCGAGATCGACGCCGCCTCGGGGCGCTAGCCTATGAGCCATAGCTAATGAAGCGCTCGGATATTGTGATGCGAAAGTTCAATGAGTTTATGTGCGGTCGTTGCCAAACAGGGGAGTAGGCTAAAAGGTCAGCAACCGCGTTGAAGTGTCGCGAGGATGGGACTGAGATAGGAAGTTAGCAACCCCTAAGTAAATATGGGACGAAAGAATCGATTGTGTGTCCAATAGATCAGATCCAAGCAGGGTAGACAAGACGGTGATATAGTGAAACCAATGGGCAAAACTCACGAGACTCGCGACGCCAACATACAAGACGAATGAAAGAAAGTCGCCTGTTCGTGCAGTAAAAGCAAGGGCATTAAACAATGCTGAAAACTGAGATGCTATCGCCCGATGCTATGGGTTAGTATTTGTGAGAGCAAGAAACCGGCAAGCGACGCTGAGCGAAGAAAGATAGAGAGAAGTCATCAGTTGCCGCGACTGGTGGTTTGTGTACTTTCTTAGCAGGCTGTTGCCGCTGGCAACCAAAAGACCTGTAGGGGGTCGTGCATCGTCCAATCAAATAACACCCTGTCCCATCTGTGCCTCTCGTTAGCCAATCAAGGAATTTCAATCCTTGGACGACAAGGGCAGCATTTGGCCTAGATTTGCTGAAATAAAGCGGTCAATTGGCATGGACTGCCTACTAAACAGCCCAGTTAATTTTCGTATTTTGTTATGAGTGCTTATCTTACATCGTAAGTCATGAATATCTACTATGTAAATCTATAGTGGAGAAGAGGCTATAACATGAGAAGAAACAGCAGGGTGCATAATTACCAACTACCAGCTATGCATTGTCCAATACTCCAGCTGTTCATGGGTGAGTCTTACTGGGCATTTTGAGGCTTGACAAGTGCTCGCGTTTCCCTACCCGTAGCTATTCCAACTCTGGTTTCCCTGCTTGCAGAGGGTTTCCGGGCACATGTAATTCGTTCGTTCGTCGATTTGAGTGTTAAGATACTTGTAATGTCGGAAGTAGCGGTTGATTTGTCTTGGGATCCCTCAATTGGCGCAGCGTCTCCTCCAAGCTTTCATATTTTTCCTTCTGCTTCCTTTCCGCCTCTTCTAGCTCGTCTTCCCTCTTCTTTAGCTCTTCGAGTTTCTGATCCAGTTCTTCTATCCGCAGTTTGTTCATGTCGGGCTTCTGTGACGACTTCCAGGTTTCGTAGACAATTAAGGCGATGGCTACAGACAGAATGAATGCATCTCCAATGACATCGGCGAACAGATCGACCGCTTTGTTCTCGGGAAGTGGCCTAAACTTGCGTCTCCAGATGTTTTGGAACGGTATGCTCTTCTTGGGGAGTTCGGGAGCCTGCTTCTGTTTAAGCTGATCGTCTCGTTTCTGCTGCTCTTCGGTCTTGACTGTTGGTGCTTCGGCCTTTTCTTTTGCTCTTCGTTCGGCGTCTGGATTCCGTAATAATGCGACTGACATCCTCATATTCAATTGATGCATGTATTGTCCATATCGGGCAGCGAACGCTCGGAACCGGGGGTGATCGTGTGCCTGAGCTTTAATGTGATTCTGAGGAGCTGTCAGTGCCTGGTCCAGTCATAAGAGGGGATAGTTCATACGGCGCCATATTTTGAGACATGCCTCACAAGCAGAGATGCAAGCTTGAATAGTGGAAGGGGAACCATCGCTGGTGGTGGTTTGGGAATTCTTGGCTCTAGTGTTGAGAGCTGCTTGCCAAGCTGTCTCGTGAATTGGATATTTGATTGGTGGTGGGGCTTCCGTGGCGGAGAGGTATGGTCGTCAATTGAAGCTCGAATGCGTACAACACGTCAACAAATCGCACAGTGCATATGAGACCGACTGGTTTGGAAGTGCAAGGGCAGATTGGATCCGAAGATTAGCTGACAACATCAAGAACAAGCGCGTCATTCTAGGTCATTGGATATTTCGAGTAGAGTCGAATGCCGTCTCTTCCGGAGCAGTGATATTCCGCGCTGACACAGGGACAAGAAGCTAGACCAGGGGTGAGAAGCTTGTAGAGCTCTGATTGGTTGCTTAACTTATTCCTCAACCATAACACTTGCACAGAGTGAAACTGCTATGTTGATTGGATTGATATACTCACTAACAAGGGGTTTCTTTCTTACGGTATATAGCTAGCATATGGCTAGAGGTCCTCCCTTGCTTCAGAAGTTGCAATACAAAAGTCGTTCTCCGTACCTTTGGCTTCTCAGCATCAAGATAGAGGTATTGGCAGCCTCGGCGTCATCAACTGGTGATTAAAAGCTTACTCTTGAGATAGGTAGCCTTGGCATGAAATCATTCAGCGTTTATGTTCTAGATAACCAACGTTGCGATTTTCAATGACATCGAAGTAGCCGAGAATCCATCTCTATTGCTCTTCCTTCCCCAGGTACCTAGGCTATTTGCTGTTGGCTGTGTGTACTTACCTAGTACCTTAGGTTGGTAGGTACCTAGGCACGGTGACCTGCCTTACCTTCCTTGAGATATGCCTTCAGTGCATAACATGGACAACTTCGTAACTTCCTTGCCACGTCCTATCTTACTGACACCACGGCTCAATGCATCCGCCTCCTCAACAATCCATCCTCGGCCGCGCGCGATCTTCCGGGTAACCATCACTCTTGGTATTTACACCTCAAACAAGACTCATCATGCTTTGCTCGTCCTTGCGGAAGCGAAGAGAATGGGCATCGGTGGTTCATTCGCTAACAAGAAGCTCGTCAAAATGGAAAGGTTGGTTATCGATGTGACCTGTTTGATATTGGGTATTATCATGCACGCACTCACATTAGCGTCCCTAGAAAGTAACCTGGAGGCTTGTGATATCACATTTCCAGTCCTTGTTTCCAACAGCCCACCCGCTACCTTCAGAGCAATTGTCTCTTCATTGTCGGGACTCCAGTCTTCTGAGGAAAAGGCGCGCGTGGGAAGACTGGCGGTTATGAACGGGGGAGAGCATATCGCCGTGATATTGCTTTTGGATGGTTATAAGCCCATGGAGTTGTTTTCTCGGCTGCAAGTTGAGTATGCATTCACATCACTAGCTTGTCTATTGCCGTTGACTTCCTCTACAGGATGCTTTATTCGGATTGTCCCATTCCTATGATCCCCATTTCTACGACCCAAGATTTCGCCGGCTGCCTTGAATCTCTCAGGTGGGATTACAATAGGAAGAGTTCCGCTCTCGATGCTGAACAAGAAGCACCTCATGAGAGTTTGGTAGGCTGGTGTGTCGAAGGCAAACCTCTTTCAAGAGACCAGGTCAATGTCCTGACCGGAATCACCTCCGGGTTCAGAGGATTCGCCGACCTTCACTCCAGCCCAGGCGGCCGAGCTACAATTTGTGAATACCTAGGGGATAGCGATGGTGAACGAGTCATCTCGTTTCTCTTCAATGGCCCGTCTCACGTCTGCAAGCAACTAGAGGCATCAGATGCACCCAATGTGTGATAAGCCAGACAGATGGAGGTAACTGTTGGTCCAGTTTCCGAGAAATTGGGCGGCAACGACAGGTCTGCTTACCAAATGCTTGGAATGCGTTATGTACAATGGCATGATAATGGTCCAATGCAGAATTGAATCTTGCCAGTAATGCCGTTTAGATCGATCATCCGCCCTGTATTCTGGGTCACAACCTACAGAACAGAGCGGTGTCGTTTAAGTCATGGCAGGCATCTGGGGCAGAGGTGCAGGGGTAAGCGACGATAAATGCAAGTTTAATGGAGTGCATATTCGACCACTCACAATTATTTCGAAAGGGTTAATAGAGAAAAGATGCCACAGGTTCTCCATCTCTGCGTCGCTGAACTCGTTCGCCGTTGAGACAGGGTAGTCTACAAGGTGATAGAACAAGTATCCACCAGGCAACGGAGTGATGCAGATGCGGCTGACCTGGCTGGTGGAAGCTGAACCAATTAGAGCAACCCTGCAACCGCCGAGCTGGCAACAATGTGAATCGGGCTCACTATGCTGATGGTAGGCCTCAGGCTCGGTTATCACGCACTATCGGACGAGCCGATACCTTCGCTTGCGTGTTTGGGGGCAAGTCACAGCTTGTGGTCTTGATTGATACGGTGAGAGAAAATGACCAAGCCGCTACTCTGTGAGGTGGTATGAGAAGAGTGATAGCCGGCACTAGCTCAAGGTGATGGTCAAGAAACAAAAAGCAGAAGTGGTGCTATCCACATCAGATGATGGATGGTAACAAGAGCTGTTGGACGCAATCTGATCGGTCCCGAGGGATAGGTTAAGGAAGCGGATCGCAACCGCTTGATCCAAAGATTCGGGATCTCTCTGAACAAATGAAGCAATCCTGTTTCGAGAAGCGCTTTAATATGGGGACGCAATGTCTCATAAGTTGTTGCAATGACAACCAACATGCTTTTGACGATAACCAACACCAGATCTTCCCCAGATCCTCATCACCCAACAACTGCTCGACAGGGCAAGTTGCCACAATGAGCGTGATGAGTGGCACAAGCATCGTGGTTTAAAAAAAGTAACACCGCAAGCAGCGTTCAAGTGAACAGGGATTAAAGAAGTGGTGGGCGGGAGAGGGGCCAGGAGTCAGGGGTCCAGCAGCAAGTCAAAACACCGCAACGTCGGCTGTCCCAGCATCTGCCTCATGTGGTATCCTCCTATGTCTCATGAGAGAGACTCGAAATAAAACGAGAAATTGGCTATTGATGGCCGTCAACTGAGAGATAGGTGGAAGAGTCCTTCGTTGAGATGAAGCTCATCTAAGGGAACGACGAAGCGATATTCCCTTGGTTCCTTTCAAAGTTGAGTTGTTTAACTGGTTGTCCAGAGCTTCCTTTTAGCTTCATGCGACATCACTCAATCCCTGTCCCATCTCTATACCCGCTTCCCTTCTTCTCCCACATGGCCGCTAAGCACGCTCATTGGCTTGTGCTCTGCATCTAACCGCCGAGGTTATCACCAATTACCAGCCCTCACACCACTGCGACATATGAGTTTATCGATGTTTGACCACACCAGCCGTGGGAATGACCAATCATGGCATCTCAGAGCTGCTTGCACCCGCTTTAGCTCCAAGATGATGGACGTCGGTCTGTGTGACGAGCCGCTGCATCGCATTACTTCACATCCTAGCTCTCTTCTCCCCGCCTTTCCACTTTCCATTGCACCGCCAGTCTTCAAGTCACCTACTGCCAGGCGCTTCTATATCCTGAGGCGAATACGTGAAGATGGCCCCAAGAAATGGCGTGGCTCGTGGCCCGACGGTCCATGTAGACCCTGGTTCATTTGTACATGAATGCATTGCATTGGCCTAGATTTTCATACCAAGAAAGAGGCGCATTTTGGTTGTCATGGTTCTTTTCTTGGCCTTTTCTTAAAAGTCTCAGGCTGCCCTCCACTGCAACTTGCAGCCTCCCCTCCCAATCCCCGGCCCATCTTGAAATCTGTGTCTCTTGTAACGTCTCAGAAGACTCCTGAGTATCACCTCGACTGGTCATACAATCTTGCGACTACAATAACTTCGGAAAGGAAGAAGCCGTTCTTGGATGAGACAGAACCAGCCTTACAATACCGCCACCGTCTCTCCCAAGGATAACCAAACCGAAAATACTATACAATGTCGCGCGTGTGCTTGCCACGATTATAGACCATACAGTCGAGTGCGTGGATCTGCCAACCAACTTCCGCGACATCATCGGCTTCATAATCGTCCCTAAACATTTCGCCCGACGCCAACGTCTCAAAACTGGAGCATCCGCTCTATCCTTATCCACCTCGCTCTCGGCTCAGCCTCAACCGTCGGGATCGACGACCTTAACACATTGGCTTATCCATCAAGGGTCTCGTCTCTTCCTTGATATCATCGGCCACTCGCCCACTGTTCTTCTTCTCTCACCATTCGCTTCTTTCTGTCTGCTGGCCTGACAGAGTTACTGTTCGTTTTAATACTTTCGTTGTTTTTTTTTTCGTTCGTTCCGCGCTCTTTTATACCATATCGCCGCTGGCCGGTCTGTACTATCACACCAAAAAAGGACTATTGGCAGCAGTGTTTGGGTAGTAAACGAATAGACGATAAGTTCAACGAGGGAAAACGAGACTGGTTACTATCCGCAAGGAAAGAGAAACGTTTTGGAAACAAGAGAAGGGCAACTTAATCTGGGCTTGACAATCAATATCCATTCACTATGGGAAAACTCATCAAGAATCACTGGGCCCGTCTCATCATCTTGAGTGCCGCAGCTTGTAAGTTGACCTGGGATTTGGACCGACCGTTTCTTTACTTACACTATCTTACAGATCAGATTGTGGCTGCCATAGAGTGCTTCTTTTGGCCCAAGATCTTCTGGGACTTCCTTACGCGCACCCTAGACGGCGCAGTAAGGCCTGTACCGGCTTTACAGATAATAAATCTACTCTTGGGGTTGGCCATGCTAGCTCTCGAATGGCCTCTCAACTTCGTCGCCGGCTCAGCTCTCCACCGCTCGCTAGAATTCCGACTTGCCATCCTTCCTCTCACAGCACTCAGTGCTGCTCTCATCTACCAAGGCACAAACGCCGCCATCTACTACCTCATCGGCATGGTTGTCTACTTCTGGGGTTACAGTGAGGGCGAGGTCAGTTGCAACCACAAGCCTTGAGAAATCTGCATGTGACTAACATTACATTTCTAGATGATCTGCGCAAAGCCCTGGACTCTTCCTAATCGTGGGCGCAGCGGCGGCGTTACGCGTGCATAGTCGCAGCTTGCCATCATGGATGTATAATACTACAAAATACAGAACGGGGCGTAGCATGACTTCTTAATTGAACGGCATCTCTAAACCTCGAACTCTACAAAGAGACACTGTTACACATTTACCCTTTTGCGGCGTTTGGCGATTTTTCATGATATATGACCACCAGTACTGCGTGTTGTACGACTCATCCTGCATCAAGGAGATTTCATTTCTAGCATTGCGTTTGTGTTTGCATTTGCATGATCAGCGTGGAGGCGTTGGTAGATGAGGATACCATTGGAGAGGGACATACTGTTTACTGCCGTTTCCAGAGGAACACCGTGCAACCGGGAGACCAGGAACTGGGCAAGTTGCATGGCATTCGCGGGCTCAAGGACTTCCGGTGAGAGTCTGCTATAATCCCTGGGGCTAAGCGCACCCAACATATAGATCTAATACTACCAAAATGTCTTCAAATGTGCCATGTCTGTTTCTCTGCCGTTTGCTTCCGTGGATACCTACTTGCATGTCTATCGAGCCAAGCCGAAAGGGTAACTCGGCTTGGTGATTCAAAACATAGTAGAAACAACTAAGAGCCTTTTAAACATGTCGAAACCGGATCTGTTTGTGGATTTTGCCAAGTGGTAGTATTGGCTGATACTTCGAAACACTCCTTGTCTAATAGCGTTATTTTGGATTATAACTTAGCTAGCTATACCTAGGTCCACATGTGGAAGCCACATCACATGGGAATGGAGCATGGTCCAAGATCATACATAAATGAATTAAAAGAAGAACATAGGCAATACTTTCGTTTCTGAGTCAATGCGGAAAAAACTAAGGCCTCCGATTTCGGAGTCGATCAAGAGCTTTTTATGGTCTTAGGAATCCAAGACTATACGGAAGTCAATCAAATTCGAAGCAAGAAGGGGAAATGGAAGATGACAAGATGGCCTGCTACTGTTCTAATGGCAATGAATAACTCTACTATCACAACTAATCAAATGATTTCGTTTGGTGACAAGTAGGGCAACTTACTAGATTATTCGTGGTTTTACTAAATGGACTCGACCATCCAAGCATCGACGTAGTCCCTTGCAGTAACCTCATGGGCAAAGTTGGCGAAGTAGAGGGTGCGAGACCAATCATTTCTGCTGTGGTACCTTAGCACCGTAAAGCGCTACGTTGATTGATAATTCATATCAGTATCACCCAATTTCGGGAAATGTGTGTGTGTGTGTGTGTGTGGATTACATCGAGAGGAAATGAATGCATTGCAATTCCAAAGGCAGGTTGTATTTCATGAGGCACTATCATAAAACTGCCCATCTCTCAGAGCATCAGATACTAGCTGATTCAATCGCCCGTCAACCTGATTGTTGTTCAAGCTAATTGCCTGGTGACAACTTCATCAACCATTTCAGATGAATTGTAGTTGCTCACCGATAGCTCCGCTACTGTAACATGAACCCTTCCCTAGCAATTGCACGCGCAAAAATCTGGCGGACCCCTCAAACGCCTGCTGTCTGGTACATCGTGTAGAATGTTGTTTCTTCTAATGGGAGAGGAGAGGGCCCTTGTTGTCGTTCTTGGGACCTTGACGCTCGGGGAACTGTACGACCATGTTAGTCATGCGGCTAGTTAGGTATGTTTTATACAAAGGGTCTTACCTCTACGGTCTGGGTGTCGCCCTTCTCAAGAATCTGCTTGATGACATCATCGTCGACAGAGGTACCAAACTCGTTCTCAAGAGCGGCCTTTGAAGCAGCATCGAGACTTCCCTGAGCTCCTTGGCTATTGAAACGTTAGCTTATGTGTTATGGAATTGAACAATGTTTTGATGATGGTTGGTAAAGGGAAGCTGAAGTCATGATTAAATGCCAGACATCTGGCAGGCCCATGCTGCATAGACTATGGTAGAATACATGACGCAGGACTTCCGTTTCCATGGTAGCCACAATATGAAAGGGAAAGAGGAGGTACAAAGCGGGGGTGGCTTGACTTACTTGTGCGTCAGGAAGATCTTGAAGGAAGAAATGAAGTGAGCCAGAGGAATGCTCTTGTCGGTCTTCCACTTCTGGTAGGTCTCAACATCATCAATGAAGATGATGAAGTCGTCGCTGCCCTTGTAGTGGACCTTAGTCTGCTGAGTCTCGCCGCGAGCCATTGTGATTGTTTATTGAGTGAGGGAAGTGGTAGTGGTTATGTTGGTGATGAAGGGTCGTCAAACGATTGGAGTGAGAGTCGTTAGGTGGAGTTGTTGATAATTGTTTATCGAAGCTGGATTGAAGGATGAAGATGAAGATGAAGATGAGGAGAGGAAAAGGAATCGAGAGAATGTGGTGCATTCAAAGGCTTAAAAGGAAGCTCAATGTGAGGAGCAGTGACGAGTGTAGCTTGCTGGCCGGGAAGCTACCTACGTCATACGTCATAACCATGCTCTCTCAAGGTGGGCAAGTGGGCCGGTACGTACTGCATCGCGGGGCTCTCGAAGCTCTCAGGCGGAACAAGCCCCACTATAGCTAGCCATAAGCATTAACACAGCCAATAAAGCAGCAGATTCCCGTTTGCTTGCCAGGCTCGAAGTATGCTCGTCTTGCTTCTTCACGTTCCTGCATGCTTGAATCCACTGCGTACGTCACCGTGTTTTGAGCACGAGGAAGCAAAAATATCCAAGCTTACCTTACGGGCTGCCATCCATGTTGATCGATCGCGTGCTCCTCACGCCAGCCTATAACAATTTCTATGGAAGGGATTGGCTAAGTTGCAGCGGATCCCGTGTTGTTCTCCCGTCTTCCACGTCAGGAACAAATCATCTTCTTTCTTATTGCCTTGGCAAACTATAACATTATTTCCTGTGATTGCTGTCTTGATTTGTTTCTCTTCGGGGGCATTGGCTTGATGCATGATGCCCAGGATCCAACTTCATGATTGTCATATTCCATCAAACTCGAGAAAACTAATGGTTTAAAAACAAACAATTGACATTTGGCAAGACTTCACCAGTCTTAAAGTGCTGTATAGAAACCACCTAGTTAGACTACCAAAGCTTGCTAAAGTAATGTAACGATCGACTAGTTGGACATCGGTTAGGTAGTGATGCTAATTATAAAATCCAATGCTTAGTTTCCCATCATCTTTGAACCGATAACACAGCACAGCTTTACCAGAGATGTATCAAACGTCGTGGCCAGCCAGTGTCCTCATACCAGTTTCTCACCGAAAGAATCTGCGAATGCCCTTCTTTTCGTTTTTCGAGCCTTTCCCCTTCATCCATGGAACATCTGTGCTCTGCACGGCGGCATCAGCCAAGCGAGACAGGTTCTCCTTCGCAACAGAGTGTGTTTCTGTTCTGGAACCATTTTGTGGAGAATCAGTCTGGTGCCTGTTTGTCATACAATCTTGTAGAGCTGGCGTGTTTTCTGCCTCACTTTCCAGTTGCTTTTCTGAAATAATCTCAATCAAATCAAGAGGTTCGAGTTCAGATATCTGTGTGAGCTCGAGCCTCGGAGACATGTTGTTCGATACCTGGCCATCCTCTTCGCTGAGCTCTCGAGTCTCTGGGAGCGCTGAACCTCTACTTGTGTAAGAATGTGAGCTCTCTTCACGACCAGCCCTGTCAAAGATGTCAAAGCCACTATCGCTTGAAAAACTGGTCTGATGGGTCTGGTCTTCGCTCGATGGGTCCTCGATCATTCTGTGTGACAAGCTTCCTGACCTCTTCGTCATGCTAGATACACTCAACTTTCTCATTACGGTTGATGCTGACCGCCTGATCATCTGCTCATTCTGCGCAATGTTCGTCATACTAGGAAGGGGAAGGACATCTTGACTCCAGACGTCTGAGAGAAGCACCTCCAGTCGCGCTCTTTCACTTCGAGATGGTACCAGGACTGGCATTCTGACTTTTGTTGATAACAAAGACTGTGAACGATGGAGGCCGGCCCCTGAGCTGGCACCACTACTAGATTTCATGGTACTTGTATTCTTGAGAATGACATGGCACAGGGATGACTCGGAGCTTCCCACAGATGCCTGGTGCGTTGATAGGCTCCTCGCAATACTCCCTACCGCTGCTCAGTAAGATCCAATCCTTTCGTGAGTTGAGCAGTATGAACATACCAGGTCGTCCAAACACAGTGCCTAGACTTTGAATGTCAAGAGAGAGAAATATTTGAAGACCAGGAGATCTGCCAGCAGGCTCTAGGCAGAGTGGTTGTTGCAACCGGGTTCGCCATTCGTTCTCCTCCCTTGACGTACAAGCCGTCATTACCACTTCGTAAAGTTGGTGGTCGCTCTCAAAAGCAAGCTTCCAAGAGAAGGGAGCTAGGTGACATTGCAAACCTACTAGATATGTTAATTCCAGTTTGAGTTATATATGACATGCCTTACCGCGCCCATTGTCAGCATCTTTAACAGTTGAACAATGTACATCAATGCAGGCCAGAATCGTGTAAATAGCATCAAACTTTCCTCCAGAGGCCAGACAAAGGACGTCTTTGTAGAGTAAGCAAATCATATACTGGCCGTCAACGCCGGTCGGTGACTGCCAGCATACATGCAGGACTCCACAGAACTGAATGTGCCCAAACGAACGAACCTGATTTTTCGAATGCGCATCGAGTCTCTCGTAAATGGTTAGCATAGATTCAATGATGGAATACATCTGAAGAATACCCTGTTTGGAAATACGATACGATCTTGCAATAGCCAGGTCTTTTCAAGGATGCCTTTCATCAAGTTATCCTCGGTTGAGCGATTGATCTCAGCTGTGGCCTCTCGAAGCCTCATTAGTGCAGTTTCAACTTCCATGTGAGAGTTTGGACAGTCGATGACTGGAGTGCATCTAAGCAGCTCTGCAAACAAAAGGGGGTATTTGCAAATTCTTTGAATAGGCTGACCCTAATATGTCAGACAGTGAAGCAGACATGATCGAAGGAGCATACCTTAACAAGAAGATCACCAATGGTCAGAGCCTTTCTGCTATCGGACGATGGTGATGACTCCATAGTGAAGGCGAAAGCCTCAAGCCCCTTTTGATGTAATTCCCATTCGGGGAGATTTTCTAGAGCTGAAGTAGCGTCTTTGATCATCATCTCATACTTCGCGCCGTATTCCTTATACATGAACAACCGATGCATCTTGATGCAACACGTCAGTACCCGTCATACGGTGAGCTGCAAGACAGTACTTACCCTCTTACTGAAAATCCTGGCCGCATCTGCTGCTACCTGAGGCTCAGACAACACACCGGGCTCCTTTTCTAGTAACTGGAGGTTGCTTTGATCGCCCGGGACTATATCCAAACTTGACCATCGGCGATGTCCAGTTTTAGGATTGGTGAATTTGGAAGGGGATACGATAAGATGATCAGCTTGGCTATACTCAGAATCTGGGACTACCCTATGTAATTCGCCGAGTATTTCTTCGTGGAGCTGAAGGATTTGATCGAGATTGTGGTTGATGGACGAGCGTAGCCGCTCAGGTAAAGTTGGGAGAGCAGCGAGCAGGTTGATATAGGCCTGTTTGCTGTCAGTTTGCTCAACAGTAGTGTTGAGTTGAACCTACGTGAACAAGGAAACGAACGTCACCAATGTAACTTTCCTCCGTATTGATGAGCTCCTCGAGGATCTGCCGGCGCCGCAGAGAACGCTGGATGGCAGCAACATCAACGTTGACCTTTTCGAACGGAACACTGTCCTCGGAAAACCTTGGGGCAGACAGAGAAGCTCGACTACTTCGCTCGGTTCGTGACCGGCAATGTGAATGGCGATGATACCGGCGCGAGCGCGAGATGGCACTGGTACTAGCAATGCTGATACTAGCACTTTGAACTGCTTCGATGAAACCAAGCGAAGACCCTGAAGACGAGAGCCGACGACTGAGTCTGCGACTAATTGACCGCTGATAAGCTCCACTGCACTCGAGACTTTCCCATCCAGTATCTGGGGACCAAACTTCTCCTCTATGGTCTCTTTGGCTCACTCGTCGATGCAAAGATCTCATCCACCTAGAGAAAGGCCCCCGAGGCTTGAAATTCTCAGCGAAAGACTCGTTGCAAGGAACCTCTTGAATCGTTTCGACTTGTATCTGTGAACAAGAAGGCCTCGTGCGTGTTGTAGTTGCTCTTTCAGAACTCGCATGCTGGGTGGTGCTATTCAAGGTTGTGAAGGTATCGATATCATCAAGGCGAAGTTCATCCAATCTTGAAGGCAAATGGATGTCATATAATCTGCGGAGGCTGTCATGGGAGTCGAATCGTGATATATACGGAAAGCCGGCTGTCCAACTGAAATGTCTCGAATTAGGGATGTTGGGAGAAACGTCGGGCAAGGCTGAAGGATTCACAAGAGCCATGATGAAAAGAGAGCGACGAGGTAAATTCCAAGAAAGTAACAAAGTGCTGGTTCCAAGAAAACCCAACTACACCAAAAAAGTGGCTTCAGACGAGCTGTCCAGACATGGCTGTGATGATGAATGATGAGGAAGATGTCATGAGTGAGATAGACCAAACACTGAGGCACTTAGAGTTCACAGTATCAGAACTTGCAGAGGAACAGCCCGGAAAGCTGGCAGAAGGTCACAATCTATGGGCAAACCTACCTACCTTACCCAAGGAAAGGTAGGTGCGGACCGAGAGACACAGTATCTCGGGACATTCCTTCCTGGATGGCGTATTAAAAGAAGCCATGCAAGAGCGATGAGCGACCACGCAGGTCGAATTCGCCGAGAATTGCCTCCGAAACCAAGAAATATGAGCTTTTCAAACTATCCAGCCAGGCAGTCTTGCCTGGCCACATTGGCTCGACTGAAATTCAACACCCATGATCCTAGGCTGTGGGATCGTACAGCCGGTGACGATGAGCCAAAGTATCACGGCCGAGAAGTGGTGATACAAAGAGGCGCCTGCATGGCCCTATTGGTGCAAGGCGAAGCTGGAAGCACTGAAGACGGGAATATTGATGCCCGAGTCCAGGAGTTGTAATGCAGCGAGACCAAAAGGCCAATTGGATCAAGCCTCAAGCTCAGAATATGCTTTGAGTAAATGATGGGCCAACAGGTTCCTTTGTTCCATAAAGCCGGCTTCATTACTTGCGGCCACGAGATATTACGAGTTCAGGGCTGGCTGCAAATTCGTACTATTGACGGCCAAGGCCGAAGCAGAAGTCTAAGAATCTCAATGTCCTTTTGATGTGGCGGCGAGAGGCTTTGATATCAGCGGCTTGTTTATATATAAGAGGTTGGAGAGGCTGAAAGAATCTGAAACTGGGAGCATGATTGTGTGACCATCTTGTTCGTGGCTTGATGGTTGGACATCGTCAGTGCATGATATGTATCAAGAAGTTTGAGGAGCTGAACTTCTTGCCACGGGGTCAAGTACAGGAACAAGATAAACTTCTAGGACCGCTTGCAATCTTTCATTGCTGTTCCCGAGCCGCAGATAATGCGTGTTGTATTGTGCTCATGATTTATGAACTTGCCAGTTGATTGTGACACCGATCACTACCCGATAACGCATTGCCGTATCCTGTACCAGTCGACGTGAATGATTTCCTTTCAATAGATTTTAATGAACCTGGCAGTCTGAAGTGGAGAAGCGTGTCGTAATGCACTGTGTGTGACTTCATGATCAAGGTCGACACTTGGCGGAAATAAAATATCGGATGCAAGATCAAGCATATTGGCCTACGGTGGTGTTTATATTAGACATCTATATCTATATCTGTACAGTAAACTAACCACAGCATAAATGCTCTTGAAATTTAGATATCTGAGCACTCCTTACAATATATACTATGGTATTTCATATGAGAAATGAGTTTTCTAAAAGTATCACGCTTGATAGAAGATCTACAATACAGACTCAAGCATGATGTCTTGTTCCCCCACGAAGAGTGTTATGACCACCAACTTTTTTCAGCCAAGCCCTATTTTGAGTCAGTCGGCGATACCGGGCCGGGATGAAATGGCTTTGACCTGAGAAGCTTACGAGTATTGTATCTTCATGGATAGATATGTAGTCGGTCTCCACCGACCCTCTGACTTACCCATACTCACCTTCAACTTCAATTGGTGAGAGCGGCTTATTCGGCAATCGACAACTTGGCATATATGCTCGGCAAGTAAAGACTCAACTTGTATCTTGTCGTGATGTAAGGTGTAAGCTAACTGGCTCGGCATTGTGGCGGTGCTTGCAGAGCTAGGCTCAACAAAGGTAAAATCGAGTTGGGGTTTCTCGGCGGGAGAACAGTCTTGAATCGGTTTTCAGGGGACTGGTGCCTGGTTTTCAGGAGGGTTTACAGTGGTTCTCCCAGATTGTGGGGATGCGCTACTATCACGCTAGAAGACAGGAGAGACATGCCGACTGCCCGAGACGGAAACGAACACGTTGAGCTTTTCGACCATGAAGAAGCGACTTGACTTGAGAATTCGAACGAAAGACGGAAGCGGAAAAGTTGATGGTCTCGCGATTCAGATTCTGTCTAGTATCTTAGTCCGAAGAAGCAGGTTTCACTGCAAACTCCACCATTAGTAAGAATAAAATCTGTACTGCAAGGTTGGAGGTTGCCACGTGCGTGGGCCCTTTCATCGCCTTGCCTCTCTAGTCTTGACAAATCTACCTTACTGTAACTGTTCCATGACAGGATTGGAAACCGGTGATTAGTTTATTGCCTCCGTGTCTTCTATCTTTCTCTCCTACACTTTCTTTTTCATTCAGGTTCTACGTGTTGTCATTTTTTTTCTGACGTCTGCATTACCTTCCTTTCCTTGCTTCAAGGTTTACGTGACCCTTTCTCTCTCTTGTCGCAAATCGTCTCGTTGTCAACTACTCGGTATACAAACTTGATTCAACTTCGTTCCGAGCGCTCGCGTTGCGCATTGCCTTCACTATGGAGAGCGCGTTCGCGAAACCAGTTGGCGATGTCCTCGCCAACTTCGACGTCAACGAGGCTACAGGCTTGAGCGACTCTCAGGTCACCGAGCTACGCAACAAACATGGGCGCAACTGTACGTCAGATACTCTCAGTAGCCCGGCCAGCTTTTTGGACTGTCTAACTTTTGGTAGCTATTCCTGAGGAGCCTCCTACTCCTCTGTGGGAGCTTATCCTAGAGCAATTCAAGGACCAGCTGGTCATTATCCTTCTTGGTTCCGCCGCTGTCTCCTTCATTCTGGCACTTTTCGACGAAGAAGAAGGCTGGAGTGCTTTCGTCGACCCAGTTGTTGTAAGTACAGATTCGCTTTTTTGATCCTGTCTGTTTCTCGTTAAGCAAACCACTGACCTATTTCCTACAGATTCTCACCATTCTCATTCTCAACGGTGTCGTCGGAGTCTCCCAGGAAAGCAGCGCCGAGAAGGCTATCGCCGCCTTACAGGAATACTCAGCCAACGAAGCCAATGTGGTGCGAAATGGTGGTCATGTTTCACGAGTCAAGGCCGAAGAGCTAGTCCCCGGTGATATCGTCACAGTCTCTATTGGTGATCGTATTCCTGCCGACTGTCGAGTTATTTCTATCGAAAGCAACAGTTTCTCCGTCGACCAGGCAGTTCTCACCGGAGAGAGCGAGAGTGTCGGTAAACGCGCTTCTACCGTTATCGAAGATGAGAAAGCTGTTCTACAGGACCAGACCAACATGTTGTTCTCTGGAACAACTGTTGTAACTGGTCGCGCTCGAGCCATTGTTGTTCTCACAGGCCCTAACACCGCTATCGGAGATATTCACGAAAGCATTACTGCGCAGATCTCGGAACCCACACCCCTGAAGCAGAAGCTCAACGACTTCGGCGACAGTCTGGCCAAGGTCATTACTGTTATTTGCATCCTGGTTTGGCTCATCAACATTCCCAACTTCAATGATCCTAGCCACGGCAACTGGACCAAGGGCGCCATTTACTACCTCAAGATTGCCGTCTCCCTTGGTGTTGCTGCGATTCCTGAGGGTCTGGCCGTTGTTATCACTACCTGCTTGGCTCTTGGAACTAGGAAGATGGCTGCTAAGAATGCTGTCGTCCGAAGCCTCCCCTCTGTTGAGACCCTTGGAAGCTGCAGCGTCATTTGCTCTGACAAGACCGGTACTTTGACCACCAATCAGATGAGCGTTAGCAAGGTTCTGCATCTCAACGAAGATGGCAGTGATCTAAACGCGCTCGATGTCGAGGGTACTACCTTCGCACCCCGTGGAGCCATCAAGTCAAACGGTGTCGTCGTTCAGGACCTCCCCAACTCTTCTGCTACTATCCGCCAAATGACACAGGTAGCTGCCATTTGCAACGACGCCCAGCTTGCCTATGATTCTCGATCTGCTACTTTCTCCAGCATTGGTGAACCAACTGAGGGTGCTCTTCGAGTCTTGGTTGAGAAAATTGGACCTTGCGCCCCTGCCGATACCCGCCCTGAAGATTGTGTTCATTATGCCAGCGCAGCCTACCAGAAGGAACTACCTCGCCTTGCTACATACGAATTCTCTCGGGATCGCAAGAGCATGTCTGTCTTGGTTGGAAAGGGCAATGATAAGAAACTCCTGGTCAAAGGCGCTCCTGAATCCGTTATCGATCGCTGCACACAAACTCTCGTTGGCTCCAATGGCAAGAAGGTTGCACTCACCAAGAAGATTGCAGACCGCCTAATGAGCGAGATTGTACGATATGGCAACAATGGTCTTCGTGTTATCGCTCTCGCCAGCATTGACAAGGTGGCTGACAATCCTCTTCTTCACTCCGCTTCTTCTACCGAACAATATGCCCAGCTTGAACAGAACATGACTTTCCTCGGCCTCGTCTGCATGCTTGATCCTCCCAGAGAGGAGGTTCCCGGCGCTGTACAGAAGTGCAAGGATGCTGGCATTCGTGTTATCGTCATCACTGGAGACAACCGCAACACCGCTGAAAGCATTTGCCGCCAGATTGGCATTTTTGGTCAGCATGAGGATCTTACTGGAAAGAGTTACACCGGCCGCGAGTTTGACCAGTTGTCTCCTAGCGAGCAACTTGAAGCAGCTAAACGTGCCTCGCTGTTTTCCCGCGTTGAACCCAGCCACAAATCTCGACTGGTCGATCTCCTTCAATCTCTTGGCGAGGTTGTTGCTATGACTGGTGACGGTGTCAACGATGCCCCTGCTCTGAAGAAGGCCGATATCGGTGTTGCTATGGGTTCCGGAACTGATGTCTCTAAGCTGGCCGCCGACATGGTTCTTGCTGACAGCAACTTTGCCACTATTGAGGTAGCCATCGAGGAGGGTCGTTCCATTTACAACAACACTCAACAATTCATCCGGTATTTGATCTCTTCCAACATTGGCGAGGTCGTCTCAATTTTCCTGACGGCTGCTCTTGGTATGCCCGAGGCTCTGGTTCCTGTTCAACTTCTTTGGGTTAACCTCGTCACCGATGGTCTGCCTGCCACCGCTCTGTCGTTCAACCCTCCTGACCACGACATCATGAAGCGTCGTCCTCGCAAGAGAGATGAAGCTCTCATTGGCGGATGGCTCTTCTTCCGTTATCTCGTCATTGGTACCTATGTTGGTCTCGCTACGGTTGCTGGCTATGCTTGGTGGTTTATGTATAACCCGGAGGGTCCCCAGATCACTTTCCGCCAGCTTACTCGCTTCCACCACTGCTCAGCTGACTTCCCTGAAATTGGCTGCTCCATGTTCTCCAACGACATGGCCAAGGCAGCTTCAACGGTCTCCTTGTCTATTCTGGTTGTGATTGAGATGTTCAACGCCATCAACGCGTTGTCATCTAGCGAGTCTCTCCTCACTCTGCCTCTCTGGAAGAATATGATGCTCGTTTATGCCATCGCTCTGTCCATGGCTTTGCATTTTGCCCTCCTCTATATTCCCTTCCTTCAAGGCCTGTTCTCCATCGTGCCTCTGAACGTCCTGGAATGGAAGGCAGTTGTCGCCATCAGTGCTCCTGTTGTGTAAGTTTCAGCTGTTCCTCACCTACTTTATCATCAACTAACATGATACAGACTTCTCGACGAGATACTCAAGGCTATTGAGCGACAGTTCTTCATGCAGACAACAACTGACATTTCCCTCAAGACAAAGAAGGAACAATAGAACGGTGTGGATAGAGAGATCGGCAATGAAGACCTGGCGAAATGTCAGCATTGACTAGAATCTACATGTATCATATTCTGACCAGTTCAGAGAGCTGCGATTAGACCTAGACGGCCACATTGGCCTCCGATATAACGAAATCCAAATTTCTGTTTTCATGCCATTCAGTATACGAAGCAAAAGTAAATAGGCAAGCATGCATGCATCTCATCGGACAAGGGGCATAAGCATTGTAGATTCTTGATGTAAAATATGTAAAGATATCTATTTGCCGGTTGAATTCTCACATTCAGATGTCATGTTTCTTCATGGATCAGCTCCCCAAGAGCCTTGCTCTCCTCCATAATCTCTCTAGCCTCCCAGGCAGACACATCCATATCCTCCATTATCAATTGTACAGCAAGTTCAGCAACCAACACCGACTGGATAAAAGCCGCCGAGCCACGACCAGCGATGACACGATCTTTTGTGGCATTCTCTTTCAACGATTCACCGAACTCCTCCACAAGGTAATCGCACATAAGCTTGCAGCCTCTTGGGCCATAGTAACCTGGGTTGAGGTTCCCCTCCTTCTTGAGTGACCTGGCCTGACCTGTTTCGATCTTTTCTGCCAGAACATCACGGAAAAAAGAGTGTTTTCCATGAACGATTTTGGCCAAGTATGCTCGATGGTCATCCAGCCGGCCTTCAAGACGGCCCCAGTCAATATGAGGATAGCCTCTTTCACGCCATGTCTCCATGGCAGTTTCTTTCTTGTGTTTAGCACAGAACCTTGTTTGCATCTGCACATTCAGCCTCTTCCCCTTGGAATAATCCTTAAGTGCCTGTTCCGATACCAGGTCCCCACACCACGGGCATTTCGTCATTCTATCTTCCATGCTATTCTCATCTTCGAAGGGCGCCTCATTGATCGTTTCCGTATCGCTGAGCTCATCTAGATCTGATAAGACTGGCGATGATAAGCTCCCTATATCGTTATTGCTGGTCTGCATGCCATCAATCTCGGCTGGGGCAACAAATGTGGCTGGCTTGTACTCGGGCGTTCTAGGTCGGTCCACTGGTTTTTTGGGGGGGTATTGCGGTTTCCAGACGCCCGTTCGATTCTGAGACGACGAGCGTGACCTGCGAGTGTCGTTTTGCGAAAGTTTAGTGGCGTGCACTACCTGGCTTTTTGTTGGAGTAGCAGATAGACCACGGCTTGTGAATTTTGTTTCTATCCTCCCTCCCTTTCTGGGGGTCCCCAAGTCATCCTTGGGTACAGGCCTCAAAGCGACCCCCGACTTCGTTGGACTACTGAAAGATTCTTGTGAAACAGGTTTGAAGGTCGGCTTTTCTTCCGTCTGGGAGCTATGTAAGAAGTCGTCTTCTTCTGTCTTCTCATGTATAAGCTCGCCCTTTGAAACCTTTAACTTCCCTACAAATGGATTAATAAGAAAGTGGCACGGTCGCCAATTCGACGAACCTTTCTTTACTTGAGAACTTTGCGAGCCACCAGGAGCTTGCGATCCTCGAGGCTGTGAGCTCCCGTATTTCGCTTTGCTATTGCCTGTATTGGTAAATCCCCAATTGTCTTTGAATTGACTTGTTAAGCCACCCCCGGATTTGCCGCCAAGTTTCCTTCGCTTCACGGTCGAGGAAGACGTTTCCGTATGGTTTTCAGCTGTCGATCCCTTTTCTTCCTTCTGATTCACCTTCCGAGTGACATTCCTACGACCTTTACTGCTACTCGGGTTGTTGAAGGCTGTGCGTTTGATATTTCCACGAGCTGAAGTTTCTGGTTCGGAATCATCAGACTGCTCGATGGGCGTTTGGTTCTGAGAGCCACTTGGTCTCAGATTGAAATCCGCGGCTGAGGGTATATCGTCTTCTACCTCATCTTCGGAAGACATAGGTAGAGCGTTGACATCGTCAGGTTGCTGTTCAAGCTTTCGCTTTTCACAACCACGAGTTTGGGAGAGAAGTGGCGGTGGCTTTTGGTGTCTGCTTAACCCCGTCACTCTGCCAGCCATTGCAGATCGCCTCTCTTTTCGAGAAGCCTAGATGGAAAGGTAGGGGTTTGAAATGAACCTATATGAGGTGGTGAGAGATTTGAGGTCTGGGCCGCTTCCGAGGGAGAAGGAAAGAACCCCAAAAGCTAGAGCATCACCATGAGACGTTTCAGAGCAAAAAAGGAAATCAAAAGAATGTGGATGTATAAGCCAGGATTTGATAAGGCGGGTTTCTCCTTAACAAGCAACTTATCAACTGTGTTTGTTCCTTCCTTCACTGGCCAGGTTCACTGAGATGTTGCTGGAATTCCCCACTCGCCCAGTCAGCACGCGTCTGATTAAACGCGCCTGCCCTGCAACCCACCTCTGAGGTGCCCTGGCTGAATAACTTAGGTAGGTAGGGTCTAGCGCCGTCAGGGGACAGGCAAGTAAACAGTGGGCATCAGCTCTATTGGCCCGCTAACGGTCAGTGCTTCAACCCCTTCGGAAGCCGAAAAGGGATATGACTGGTTGGACAGTGTCTGGTTTCACTGCCATTTCCATTGTTGTCAGAAGCGAAGTACAAAGTAATATACCTTCACCTTACAATATACAACAAGCTTGGGTCAGAATAAAGCTCTGTAGCCGAAAGGTCCTGGTTGACGTATCAGTTGGCTACTCCTCAAATCTCTTTTGGTAGTGGAAATGGCTCTCAACCGGAAGTACGCCGCTCTTCCAGATCTGGTGAGTTGTTACCTTGACACAAAGTGAACTCAAACATGCTAACTACCTTGCCTAGGATTCCGCTCCAGACATCTATGAGACCCCAGAGCTCACAGATGACAACTCTACAGTCCCTGTGAGCTTGTTTATGCTACAGATACGGTGGATATCCATTAACGTAATCTATAGACAACCACCGGTCGAACCCATTCGGACGACGAGTTCTACGATATCGAGGATGAGACGCCTGGTATCTCTCGATCCCGGCTGCGAATAGATGAAGCGCGTTCTCGCTTTCTTCCCACCCACGTTGACGCGAACGGAGTCGACTTCTCGGACCGAGTTGACGGAAAACGCAAGTCGTACAAGGTCTCCAGCCGAAGACAAAGAATACTGCAGGACGGTACTCAGGAGCTTGGCGACCTCTCTGATGACGACGACGACGACGACGACGAGAGCCTAGAACGCCGAATTGCCCGCCTGAAGCGCGAAGTGGAAGAAGCAAAGAACGAATATGCAAAGCGAAAAGCAGAATCTCAAACAAAGGAAGACATCAGCGCTGCTACCAGTGACGACAGACTGACTTCCCTCAGCCAAGTTCTGGACGAGATATCGAAGCCCACCGGTCGCCCAACTTCGATTCGGATTCCAGGGACGAATGAAACTTCAAGTCATGAAGAGAAGACCGAGGCACCTTCAGCAGAGGATGCAACTTATACCTTAACGTACGCACCGACATATGAACAAAGCCATGCATTAGCCAAGGCAACTGATTTCGACCGTCGGCTATTGATGCTGGAGAAGGGACTGGGAATCAATGCTTCATTGATGCCAGAGGCTGATGCCAATGGTCTTCCACGTGCAATTCTGCCTACTCTGGACTCTATGAACAAGCAGATTTCTACGCTCGCCGAAGCCTCTACCGCCAATTTGGATGCAATCAGTCGCCGAGTACGAACACTTGCCCAAGAGCAGGACAAGCTGAATGACTCTCGGGAGAAGGCCAGATCATTGAGAGAAGAGCTTGGTCGAAATGGCTCTTCATCTCAGACTGAAGAGACTGAGCAGGAAGCCAAGATCAATGCTCTGTATGGTATCCTCCCTACGATTGAGAACTTGACTCCTATCCTGCCACCTCTACTGGATCGACTGCGATCACTGAGAGCAATTCATTCTGATGCTGCCACTGCGAGTGAGACATTGACTCGCATTGAGAGACAGCAGGCAGAGATGGCCGCGGAACTGAAGCAGTGGAATGAAGGCCTTGCGAAGATTGAGGCTGCTGTAAAGGACGGTAGTGTGTCTATTGAGAAGAACAAGCAAGTTATGGAGGAATGGGTGAAGGATCTGGAGGAGAGGATGGAAGATTTATGAATAACGATGCGTTGATCTGATACCCTAGCAAATAAATCAAGTTACCGAGGAAGCTATGCAGTTGAGTCTTTGAATATCCAAATAAATAAAACATCTGATCTTTTCCCCATCAAGCAAGCCTCTTCCTGTCCTTGTCTTTGATACATGGTGGTCATCTCGCTCAAGGAGCCCCAAGCTGCGCCACGTGGCTGAAAGCAATCGGCTTAACTGTTAATCCGCTCACTCACACCGAACTCTTGGTGGGGGGTAAGGGCTTTGGCAGTTTGGCACACCAAATTAATTGATTTGCAAACGAAAAAAGTTCATTCTTTCTTCAGCTCACGTTCGCGACCACCGCCCAATCCACCCAAATTCCCAACAGTACGGCTACTCCTCGAACCACCGCGCTCTCTATTCCCCTCCAGCTCACCAGTTCTTCAGGTCGCAACAATGGACGCCTCCAAGCAGCCCGTCAAGCTCGTCAAGGTCACCCGAGTTCTCGGCCGAACCGGTGCGTCTCTTCCCGAAATTTGATATCGATGAAACAAGATATCAAAAATCTCGAAACGAAAGAATGAAGAAGGGATTTTCTGACTAGATGGATAGGTTCTCGTGGTGGTGTCACCCAGGTCCGCGTCGAGTTCATGGACGACCAGACCCGATCGATCATCCGAAACGTCAAGGGCCCAGGTACGATTTAATTCTCGAAACCCTCCAGCAATTAAACGAGGGTTCAAGAGTAAGAGTATAGGATTACAAATGCTAACGTACAACCACCATAGTCCGTGAGGACGACATTCTCTGCCTCCTCGAGTCTGAGCGTGAGGCCCGACGACTACGATAAATGTGCATTCTGGGGAGCATGGGGTTCTTGGAAGACGGTCAACGACGGATGGTCTATGCATGCTAATGCTATGGCGTGCACGCCTTGTATTGGGACTGGGACATTGACCTGGAGCTGCACATGACACTCCAGTTTCATTTGTTAGAGGAGTCACACGGACGGATCTGGTCTGGCATAACGAAAAAAATCCCAGAACAGTTGTTCTTCTGCAGTATTGGAATCCGAAGAAAAGTGAAATTCATTTCTTGTTTTCTCCGCGGTATTCTCCCTCTGTTACAACGGCTCCGATCCTTTCGAAGCTCAGCTCAGTTCAGGCAGGAAAATCATACCGGGAGTTTTCCAATCAACAAGTGTTATGATACGATCTCAACGACCTCGGAGCTTCAGCGTTGACCTAGCAACTGGAGATATTATACCTCTTTTTTCTGACAATCTGCGTCTCCATAACTAACCTCGCTTCACATCGTGAATTTTAGTCACGTGCAACTTCTCTGACCTCAAACTCGGCGGGGCGATCAGAGAAAATCCTCTCTTTTCCACCTCCAACAATTTTCTTTCGACAGCGCAAAGCTCCCACAACTTTTTTTTTTTTTTTTTTTTTTTGGTGGTAAGTTAACATTCATTCTTATGCGATCCTATTTGGAATGATGCTTTTTAGCATGTATTACCTGAAACATACATTGATGTACCTTTTTATCACCAAGATCTCTGATCCAAAACCTCATTCACCACTTGCTTCTGAACTCTGTTTCTGGCCATCTGGCTAACATACAAAAAGAATTTTCTAGGCACCTCACTTCCACAATGTCTTCGGTTCCCAAGCCTCCAGCTGGACATTTCAATGTTCTTTACTTTGCCAGTGCTAGCTCTTTCACTGGTAAAGATTATGAAGCTTTGCGAGCCACGATGCCGCTCAAGAAGCTCTTCGCCGAGCTCGAGTCCAAGTATCCTGGCATGAAAGCCAAGATCCTCGATTCCTGTCTAGTCACTGTCAACCTTGATTATGTAGACTCGCCTAGTGAGGAGGGTGCTTCAGACACAGTGATCCAGGAAGCAGACGAAGTGGCTATTATCCCTCCCGTCAGCTCCGGTTGAAGGATATCGAGTGTCAGTTGCAAAAATCGCTTGGTGTCTGTATCGTGACTCCTTAAAATCTCGTAGTTGTGGGCTGCTCCTTGAGATCTTCTCCTAAGGACCTCCATTATCCGGCCAGCTCCCTGGTAGTAGGGGCTCAAGTTCTCCAGCTCGTAACCACATCCTCGCCCAGCGTTGATTCCGTAACCGCCACCAACCAGGATGCTTCTTGTGATACTGCCAGAACCATCGGGTAGCTATCACAAGATAGACCACAAGCAGAACAAAGACCAGTGTTGATATAATGGTGACGATAGCGGTGAGACTAGTTATTGACGAAACCTGGCACCCGAGGGGCCTTGTCCGTAACTCCCACCGTTCGGCCCAGTGTGGGCAGACATTCTCATCATAAGCTGGTGCGAGCAGCGGGATCTTACTAGTGTTCGGTACACATGACCATGTCTGTAACTTCTATGAGTATGTATTACTTGAGGGAATTGTTAAGAAGTGAAACCCTACAAAAGGGCACCAGCCACATTGTGAAGCTGCAAGGCAACCTTTGCACGTTTGATGCTTCCAACATCTTAGGAAGTGTTCGTCATCATGATTCCCATACAAGGTGAAGTTGGCTCGCAAAGCCTGAGTGTCATATTGAGACAACCGCAAAGAATCCATAATCTGTGATTAATAAAGGCAAGAGTATAATGATGTATCAAATTGACTATAATGGCGACAACATATTGAGTTGATGTGCTTATCATAAACTCAAAAGAGGCCAAGATTTGAGGTTGAGCGGGGAAGCATCATACGTCAACCCCTGCAGCCACTCAAACGTACACCATGTTTGAAATTGATGCCTTAGACTACCTACTCATAGCACCACTCGTTATTCCTTGACACATGACTGAATGAGACTACCGCAATCATACAAGCCTGGGTAAGGTTTTATCTCCTTATCTAAGCTAAGTGTAGCAATGTATCCGTTGCATCCAAAGACACAGGAATGGCTGAAACTGGAAGAATGAGTTGCTACGCCTCGTTCGCCAACGATTAGACCACGGCGCGTTCTCCCATCTGTCGAGATTTCCTCACTCGTCGCTTCACCTCCCTGATGTCTGCCCGCCTTCTCTTCGACCTTTCTTTCTTCGATTCCCGCACTGGTTCGTTGCCCAGACTCTCAAGCGGCATGAGATCAGCCAGAAATTGTCGAATGTGTAGGCCAGTCTTCTCATGGATGAATGAGTCAATCTGCTCGTTGCAAGCTGCTGAAGCCGCAACATGGAGACCCCTCAGCACATCGCGATCTAGGACTTCACCTTGGTCATAATTTTGGTTGGCTGCTCGAAGACTTCGAATGGACGATGTTCTTTTTGGTACGTTTGGTCGGCCAATCTTTCGACCAGAAAAGCCTCGTGAACAGACAGTAACATGATTTGGCGATATGGGAGAGCCTACATACTTGGTTCTTCTGTCCGATGATACCCTTGCTTTCCCTTTATCAAGTAAGTCCTTCTTCGGTGTAGATGGTGAGACATCATCATCAACAGACAGTCTGCAGCTTTGTTCTGTAGCTGTTGATGACGGATCTGGGTGAGGGAGTTCCGGCAACGGTTTACTGGACTTTTTTGTGGGATGCAATTGCTGTGGGACAAGAACATCAGCACTTAAGCTATGGCAGCGTCTGGGGCGAGGTTGCACCAATGTCGATTGCTTGAGATCTTTCGAGGTCTGCACCGGTCTGATACAGGGGCTCTCCTCTTCGTCAAATCCTTGGCTACCATTCCTGTATGCACAAATGTCGTTTCTTGCACGGGACTGGTGGTTGTTTGAGGATGGGCCAGCATTATCTTGGATGACCGATTCCAATGACACGCTCGAGTAGATCGTAGGTGTCCTTCGCCCAGTGAAAAAAGCCCGGTTTGATTGCCTCCTCTTTTGCGTGCTTCGTGCAGCTGGGGAAGTCGACTTTGTCGTGCATTTGTCGAGGTTCTTTCGCTGATGCGACTTCCTTCTCTCCACAGATGTAATATTGGGCCATTCGGGATACGTATGCATTCGTGGTTGGGGAAGCTTGGCCGTAGGTCCAGTTAAAGCCTTGTTGTTGAGGGATTCTGAATATAGAGGTTTCGGTTTCTGTGTGAGCTGCAGACAATTCTAATCACTACTGCATTGACACAGATCTCCCAGTTGACAAGAAGTGCAGCAAGTCTGGGGCACCTTCTGCTTGGCTTTTGCCTTCTTTCTTCGAGACTTATGGGGTTTGGACTGGTCCACCATTGCATATCTGAACTCGTCCATGTCTTTTGAGGCAGGGAAAGGGATTTCTGTCCTTGAACTGGGACACCCTGCATTACCATCCACTTGGAGTAGATGCTGTTGTTCAACATGAGATCGCGGTGCTTGGTTCATCATCGCTCTGGCTCTGCCAACAGGAGAACGGCGCGAGGAACATTTCCTTTGGTCTTTTGAAGTAATCGCAAGCCCGGCAGCTTTGAACTCTGAACGAAAGGGTAGAAGAGCTGCTATCGTGTGAAGGCTTGTACTAGAACGGGGTGGGGTCGGAGTAGGTATCGGCAGCTTGCCTTTGGCACCCGACTGCTCAGCATATCTCTGAAGCTCTTGAGTGAATCGATTCAGCGCTTCCCTTTGACTTGAGGTTCTCGACTCATTGTCGAGGCTATCCGAGGTTCGGGAAAGTGGCTGCTGCGGGTCATTCCGTCCACGAAGGGTTGGGTCCTTGATTGATAGCATGTGTAGTTGCTGGGCTATATTTCTCGAAATGGCCTCCACGAGTTCGTCGTTTACGTTCTGGTGACGTTCGGGGACAGGGCTATTGTTGAAGACATCTGTAGCATGACTTCGCAATGGTGCAGGACATGCGTTTGCCTTCATCTCGGATAACTGGCCTCTGAGAGTCGAATGAGACACTTTTCTCGGAGGAGCTGAAATGCCCATCTCGGACATATGTAAGGCACTGACATCCCGGCGAGCGTCCTTTGAAGCCAGCAAGTGGGCTGTTGAGGGGTATTCAGAGCTCGAAGATATGTCACGTCTTGGTCGTGTGTCACGAGTAGGGCGGGTTTGGCGCTGCTTTCCTGGTCCAGAGGCGGCAGAGTCAGGCTCAAAATCATCCATCCAGTCTGTTTCACCATTATAGTGCGTTTCCGCGACGCTATCGTCCGCACCTAGAGCGTTACTAGAATGGCCTATTCGGCTTGTTATATGTGATGTTGGATCGGGTGGTGATGAATTCGATCGATGGCCATGATGTCCCTGGCTTGTACTCTGATACCTCACACGTACAGTTCGTCGTGGTCGAAAAATGGTACGCCCACGAGCCCTTGAGCTATCGCTGGCAGAATGAGTTGTCCGTTTGCTGGGCAAGTGTGAGTTGCGAGAGCCGGAGTTAGATTCTGATATGACCATTCTGCAATACACAAGCTATAAAGGTTTCAAGGAGTTGTTTATATGAGAGAAAGGAGGTTTGGTTATGTCGGTATGATAGAGTGATAATACAATGAGTTGGTGTTGATGATGAATGAGAGAATTCTAGCCCAGGCAATGTTGGGTTTGTGAGGATTCCGAGAACCTGCTCGGCCAAGTATTGGAAGGTACTATACAGGATGATAATTGTACATCTCTTGCCATATCATTTTAGTCGAAGACATCCAATTGAATGTTAGGGTCTGAGAGGCAGGAGCCGCTGGATGCCGCCTATTTTATGTCTTTGATGCCTGGTGAGCCGTAGACCTCAAGTTGGCGACGTCCTTTCCGTAAGAGGAATTCAATGGCGGCAAAGTCGCGCTTATCGATGGCCAAGTTCCTAGAGAACTCATGTCTATTGAAGATATTAGAGTATTGATAACTAAAACCCCATAACTTTGGGAGTAGCCCACCTGGCAAAGCTCTCAAAATGTGAACGACTCGCCTAAGTCCGATGTCAGTCATTGGGATCCCGAATGAATAGCCGCTAATCCTTCCATACCTGTGGCTTCTTCCGACTCTCTCTTAGACAGTTTCTGTAGAGTGCGAGGACCTCTTTTTGAAGTCCTGAGAGGCGCGCCATATTTACTGATTGTTTTTGGTCGCGGTTAATCACGATCGAGTAATTGAGGCGTTGATGTAATCACTAAAGTCGAGATACCTTTGGCTGGGGAAATATTGAAGTATCATTGTGGAGACTAGATCTACCTTAGTATGGGGTTCTGGCCGATTGTCTTGTGTGACTCCAAAGACAAATAGATGGATGTCTCTACCATATTAAGCAATGGAGGATAATTCTACAGGTGCGAACTGTCGAGATAATATCATCAATGTTATCAACTTCCTTTATACTTTTAACATGGCCAAATCACGATGTGTCTGACTGCGGAATTACAGGCGGAATGGCCACCTTCAACCAGGGGTTCCATTCCACTGTAGCTTCCAGTGTCAACGCCCGATCTGCGTTGTGCTGAACTCATCCAACCACTTACAGCTACACCAAACCGCCAATATTAGCATCGCCTCACCCCTTTCAGGCTACAGTTCTCCCACTTCAGACCACGCGCACCGTTCTAAGGCACGCTAGGAATATGAGCTGAAACTCGGCCTCGTTCCTAATGGTCCCCTAAACAACTTGTGCCACTTCGCCCGCTTCTGCGGCAGAAATCCAGAGATGGCCAGGCAAAATGCGAGCGTGCCACGAGATGGGGCATCTGATTGGCCACATGCCACTCTTTCATCAGGACGTTGCTCCATCCCCAAGGCATTCCATAGCATGATAGCCTCTCTCCAAGACTGTCTTCAGGGCTGACTCTGGGCTTGGAGAGTGCCTAGTTGAGTTAGTTTGGTCATATCATGACCTGAAGACAACCTTTAGGCACTGGAAGCCCCTTGCCTACAGACGGTCCCATGCTTTCTGGACAGAGTCCAACCAACATATGGATTGTTGATTAGCTTACACAGGGCCACCAGGATCGGATAGGTTGGCCTGCAGGCAGATCTAGGACACCTCTCTACCCATCAACTCGTTTATATAGCTATCCGTCGCATGATCAACACCATCGACCCGTTCAGCCAGTCAAACATACCATTGCTTTGTTTCTCATTAGAGGCATACGTTATTCTTAACCTCTCAGGTTAGCGCCTTGTATATTTGTATCCGGACGAGAGGGTGCTTTCATGTCGACAACAGTAACAGGCATGGCAGGGTTGAGCCGTGAACAACCCCTCATGCCTGGCGCCTTCGGGCCTGAAGATTATATCGTTTTTTTCGAGGACCCCTTCGGAGTTCTCGATGGCTCTGAGACTGCTGGGGAAAAGCGGGAGCCGCGAGTTTCTTGGGTGGTTAGGAACTTGCCTAATCTTGATATTGTCGATCTCGACTGGCACAAATACAATCCACCAAAAGCATTGAGAAAGGCACCAAATATCACGTCTCAAGTCCTTCTCGACATACTTCAGTCTTCAGTTGAGAATGTTAACGCAAGAATTATCGAAGAGGATCGCCAAAAGAAAGAAAATGAGGAGCAAAGACAGCAAGAAGAGAATGAGAAAGGCAAAAGCAAAGAGCCTTATCTGCCCATCATTATACCCACCGAACCCCTAGTGGAAGAGAAAAAGAGTCAGACCGAACCTCCCCCCAAGATTAAAAAGGAGATTCTCATGACAACTTTTGGTCCTAGCGTTGTCACCAAGGCCGATGCAAGAGCTAACAAGAGACGCCTTTTCGCCCTTCGCCGTTTCTTCCAGCGCAGTGATGAGAGAGGTGAGAGTAGCGCCACGGGTGCCGCTCTTGAAGCTTTGCGAGAACAAGTTGCAGAAGCTGAGCATTCTAGAGAAGGGCTCAGCCTGTCAACTAAACCAAACTCCGTCGAGGAAGTGTAAGTTCTGGTAACATACATGAGGTTCTCCTACTAAATAATCCCAGTGAATGCGTGTCCTGTCTGGACGACTTTCATCCCAAGGACGTCATCAAAGTGCCTTGTCATAATTATTGCCGCGACTGTTTTGTTCGCCTGGTTACTGCTGCATGCCAGAATGAACAACAGTGGCCACCCAAGTGCTGCCTGAACGAGATACCCATTAAGACCGTCTTGCGATTCATCCCTGCCGACCTAAAAAAGACATTTGAGGAACGATCTAAAGAGTGGGAGCTCCCCGTCAGCGACCGTGTTTACTGCAGCGATCCAAACTGCAACCTCTGGATCAAGCCCAAGCGCATCTATCCAGGGAAGCGTCAGGGAATATGCGATCGCTCTCATATTACATGCACGTTATGCCGTGGGCCCGCTCATGGTGGAGAGGATTGCCCTCAAGATGTCGATATGAATCTCACAAACCAACTGGCCGAAGATGAGGGCTGGAAGCGATGTTTTAACTGCAATGCTTTGGTTGAGCATAGGGAAGCTTGCCAACACATGACTTGTAGGTGTGGCACCCAGTTTTGTTACGTTTGCTCTCGACGATGGCGAACTTGCACTTGTACTATGGATGACCTCCAGGCACTGAAAGAAGGGGCTGTTTCTCGACGTGCAGAAAGGCGTGCCCAAGAGCTAGAGGAGGCCGAAGAATTGCGGCATATTCTTATGCAAATTGAGGAGTTTGAACGTGATGAAGCTCTCAAGGCCGAGCTTCTACGAGTGGAACAGGAAAGATTAGAAGAGGAACGCCGGCAGCGTGAGCTCGAGGAAAGAGTACGGCAGGAGAGTATCCGTCGAAGGGATATTGAAATCAAGTATCAAGAATTGAGGATCGTGCTCGATGAGTTGCATGACCTGCAACAAGTATTGCTCGATGTTGACCAAGAAGAGGAAGCTGAGAATATGATTATCAACATTAGAGCTGCAAAGCAGGAGTTGGAAATGAAACACGAGGCGGAGATGTCCGACTTGAAGACACTCGCGCTGGCGAAGATAACTGAAAAGGAAAACACCCTGAATAAAGATTTCCGGGCTCGAGCAGCGGAGGAGAATGAGCTTGAAGAAGCTTACCACGAACGGCTCAAAGCATATTGGAAAGATAAGGATAACGGAGACAAAGAGGTTGAGAACTCAATGCTCGCTCTGAGAAAGCGTATGGATCAGAAACATCACGCCTGGCAGAAGTGGAAAGCCGACCAGCTCAAGGTCTTGGAGGCAAAACTCGAAGATAACAGAACATATCGAGAGGAGCTCATGTATAGCGCCAAACACCGGCTGCACGACTCGTGTAAGGAGAAAGAGGCGGAGATGATGAGGCGTATGGCAGCTGAGAAGAAGTGGCTTGAGGCTGTGATAGTAGAGAGAGAGAAGTTGCTGAATGAATGGGAAGTTCAGGAGGTTGAAGGTGATGCTGACAGCATATTTGCAGTGGAGTCAGAAGATTCTGGGGACGGTCACTATGTCATTGCAACGGCATCTTAGATCGCATAGACAATATACAAATAATAATCACGACAGTTACCGTAACTTATCATCTTTTGTGATTATGATATTTCTTTCCACGGGTATTCTTGAGCATCTGGGTAGTAAAAGTCTGGTCACGTGCCGCGACTTGCACAAAAAACCTCCATTCTCAAGTAATTCAACCACTGTATACAAGTCACTACAGACCAAGAAGCACATCACGACTAATAAGAGTTTACTCTTGGTCTCTTATATCCTTTCTCAAAATGTCGATCGGTGAAAAGAGCGAGTCTGCCCAGTAAGTTCATATCATCAACCCAACATGTCCAGGGTATGCTTAACATATTGAAATAGTCCACTCAAGATCTTTGACGTGGCTAGGAAGCAGGATCGTTTCTTATACGCTCTCGCGCCTATGGTCCGATATGGAAAGGTACATTTCAGTGAATGAAATACCAAAGAAAACTGCTCATATTTGTTAGCTGGCATTTCGACAAACAGTGCACAAATATGGAGTTGACCTGTGTTGGTCTCCTATGATCCTTGCCAAGGAGTTTAATCGAAGCAGTTTTGCCCGAGACAGCGGTAGGTCGCAATTTGCCAACATATAAGCCTCAGACTAATATAATGAATAGATTTGACTATCTCTACTACACCAAACCAACCACCAACTATCGTCCAGTTTGGCGCAAACGTCCCCCTGGAACTTGCTCGTGCATCAGCTCTCGTCGCCCCTTACACCCAAGGCGTCGATCTCAACTGCGGATGCCCTCAATCATGGGCCTGTGCCGAGACGCTAGGTGCTGCTCTGATGAACCATCGTGAGTTAGTAAGGGATATGGTCGTTGAGACTCGACAGCGTCTGGCGAGTGATGGATGGGGTGTTGGCCTGGAGAAGGACATTGATAGTCCAAAAGGCCGAAGTGTGAGTGTGAAAATCAGGATTCACAATGATCTCAGGTACAGCCTCTCTTTCAGATAAGATAGACTCACTGACATATCTAGGCAAACCACGGACTTCATAGACACCGTGATAGGTCACCCACAAAACCGCCATATTGACTGGATCACAATTCACCCACGAACAAGATCAACACCATCAACCACACCAATCAGGACCGAAGCCCTCGAGATCTTGACAGCCAAGTACTCGAAAACACTCCCAATACTTCTTTCTGGAGATGTCTTTGACCTCAACACTCTCCCCTTTCAACCCACCATCACCACCAATAACGACTCTCCCCTCCCCTCGCTAGACAAGCTTGTCCTCAACGATACCAACTCCGCTGTGAACATGCCACGCCCTAGTAATACTCATCTCTCTGGTTTCATGTCCGCCCGGGGTCTCCTTGCTAATCCAGCCATCTTCGCTGGCTACTCAGCTTGCCCATGGGAAGCTGTTGAAACGTTCATGTGCAAAGTTGCAAAGGCTCCTGTGCCTTTCAAGCTGGTACAACACCACATTATGGAAATGACAGCGCCTGGCATGGGTTCTGACAAGGCATCGCTTCTGGATAAAAAAGAGCGCGCAGAACTCATGAAGTTGACCAACACTTGTGAGATTATGGACTTTCTTGATGAGAAGATTGAGGAGAAGGCAGGGAGAGTTGGTGGCATGAGGCGAGACCTATGAGCAACTTCTCCCTAATACGTCAACAACGACTTTTGGACTACGGAAAGAGAGCATGGTATCTCATCCAATGCATTCATGGCTACAAAAAACAACTCTCTGCAATCTATTCTACGGAGTTTCCCACGATCCGCCTCTTGCACCAAAGCTCAAAGACCACTCAAAACGCTCTGAATGCCTACCGTCCCGGAGTCATCACGCCTCTGGACAAACGCCCTGAAGTCTGCCCTGGACAACTTCCCTCTTATGCCGGATGCCGCCAGTGTTCGTGTCTTTTCGCGGAGTGCTTCGGGGCCAACGATAAAGAGAGAACCAATCTCAGTAAGCATCTCGACAGCGGAGCTAACCTCCTTTGTCAATGGCCACTCGCGCATCGTGGAGACGTACTTTGCGATATCTTGCGTTACCATCAGACCTCCTGTGGCGTTGACCTGGAACTTCTTGAAGTGCTCAAAGAGGAGCTTCAGAATTACCAGTGCAAGTTCGGTGAAGAACTTCTCCGAGTTTTGGCCGTCGATAGCTTGACGAGCGAGACGCTGAACGCGGGCTAAGAAAGTGCAGATGCTGAGACACGTTTGTGTCTGCAATGAGTCGAGTTCGACCTCTTTTGGTCGGAAGTCCTGCTTCCGCTGGCCAGCTAAGGACTTGGTCACCCAATTGGACACAACGTCGATAGTGCCCTTCAAGACGTTGTTTGTCTTCTTCTCAATGTTACTAATGGCCACCCTCTTCTGCGCCTCCATACTACGCCTTACTGTTGTGTTTGATTCCGCAAGCCGGATGAGCACGACTGTGATGAATCGATCCATGAGACTTGTGATTGTGACAGCCGGCTGTATCGTTGGCAAGTAAGATAGATCAGGCTCAGTTTTTGTGTTCTCCTGCACAGAGACTTGGTCAAGGGCAGCATCGAGAGTAGTCTCGATGTATACCTGGCCCAGGCTGGTCAAGAGCAGGTTTAGGAGAGTATTCACATCTTTGGGGGTATCAGTTTGGGTTCCAAGCTCAAGAGTACGCTGAACGCTCTCAGCCAACCACTTGAGCATGCGCTTGGCATTAGCAACGCTCAAAGCACCATCCTCTTCTGAGACCTCGATTTCGTTCTTGTTATCCTTGTCCTTATCTTGAACGCCAGCAACACGCAGCATCATTTTTTTCTGTGTGCTCGTGAGTTCTGACGAGTCGAGACGCTCGATATAAGCATCCTTTGCGGATGCAATAAGTTGTGTGCCTTGCTGGGCCAGTGAAGCCATGAATCCAGTAGGCGCCTTTTTCCGCCTTGAATGGTATATACTGTACTTGAACAGCAGGGAACTGTACATTTCTTCCAGACTCTTCCTTTCCCGCTCGATGTACGAGTTGCCTATCATATATGGCACAAAAAGCTCTTCCATCTGCTGGTCAAGTGTATGTGCTATTTGGGCCGAGCAAGGTTCGGGGTGTTCTGTCAAGCCATGGGACTTGAGGTCTTCGACCAATGATCCGAGATAAGTTCTTGAGGAGTGTAAGGCTCTCAGGAAAGCCAAGGAAGAGATTTTGAGAGTTTCATCCAATACCATTTCGAGCCTCTGTTGGATTGACTGCTGAAATATTCGTTGAATGAACTTGATAAGCACTGTTTCGTAGTATGGAAAGATGAGTTTGATCTGGTTGGACTCGTCTTGCATGACGATCTTGATCTCGTCCAAAAGATTCTGCAGGCTTGGTTCTACCGTTGGCGGCTCTGAGTCAGGATCTGCCAGTTGTTCCCAGGTGTCGCTATCCACTTGAACCTCATCGGCCAGGAGTTGATCGCGGTCCAAGAAGAAGGCATGCTGGTTGACAAAGGTCGCAATGACACTCGCACCTCCGTTGAAGTCGTAGAGAACCTTTGCGCATTCCATCATATCGCTATAGTTGCCCTTTTTGTTGCTGTTTTCGAACTGTTGAAGCAGATCCTGCTCGAGCGTTTCGCAGAACTTTTCCAAGACTTCCCTGGTGTTGTGTGATCTTATATTTCCAACCACACCATTCGTTTGTCCCCCGTTTCGTTGGCCGTTCGTCTGCCCCCATGATGTTGGGTCAAGTCGCTGGCTGATGCGCATGAGCTGTCGAACAATCATTGCGCATCGCACTTTGTGTTCAGAACCAGCCTGCCTTTGAACATCTTGTAGCAGAGATAGCTTTCCCGTCTCGCTGACCTCCGTCCAGCATTGAATCAGGAATATGGCATCATTCGCACGCCGTCGCTTCTTGTCCAGGTCCTCGAGCTTCTCGCCGATTTGGAGCGCAATGTTGCCGCCAGCGTGTGTTTTTATGCCGACTCCATTTTTGAAAGAATGTTCTTGATTAAGGGATAAGTCTAATTGTTCGAACGCCCGCATAGACTCGTCGAGCTTCTGACCCAGGGTCTCGAGGGTTGAATCGTGGGCTACCTCTGCGCGGCGCACATGCGACATTAGCTCCGACTCCTTCTCCTGGAGTTCAGCTCCAAGCGAGCCGAGTTGATCGAGGGCATCTAACGACTCGAGTCAGTACGATTGGCTCTGTATGTATAAGCCGAAAAGTGTACGTCGGCCATACTTTCAAATGTTCGAATAAGGGGTTTTGGGTCGAAAGGTGTTTGCGCACTGCCGGACCGGCGATTCGAGGGTACGGCGCTCTCTGCTAGGCTATCGACAAAGTCACGAACAATGAAGTCCTTGTTGGAGAAGTCGTCTAGAGTGAAGCTTGGCCCTCTCGGGAAGAGAGTCTTGGGGCCGGAAGCGGTGCGCTCCATGTTGTTGTTTCTGAAGAGCGTAGAGGCGCTACATGTGGAGAGGGATCATCGACAGTCGGTACTTGGAAGAGGAGGAACGTGGATGTAGTGTGAGGTAAGGCTGCAGCGTAGACTGTTTGCTCGCGTCGTCGATCTCGTTTCGTTGTCTGTCGTCAAGGGTTCGTGGTATTGCGTTGGAGGGCGATAGGTTAGGATACCTTGCCTCAGAGTCAACCACCTCAAGCTTAGGTATGTAGATAGCCCGCCTGCTGTCGCAGCTTCAGAGGCTCAGCTTACAGCGCCCAGCCTCGCTATCAGCTGCCGATTTCCAGTGGAGGAGCTGAGCCACAGGCACATACGTGACCTGCAAGGCCAAGAGCTACAGTGGAGAAAAGCGACGTAACCAATATCGCACCGCCACGACTTTTCTTGCCATTGCCTTGTCTTGACTTAAATACACGTCTGCCCACATTCACCTGTCCAAGCTTATAAGCCTGCCCATCCTCGGTTATTTGCGCGATCGCATCCTTATTTGAGTATTTACAAAGTCGGAATCCTGTCGCCAACATTTCAATCCCTTGGACACACTTTCGCAGCTCCAATCGCCTGTTAGACAGCCTCGAGGCTGCACATCAATAACCATGCCTATCATGACGACTCGCGATCGTCAGGCCTACAGGGCCGACGAAACCAAAGACCATACGCTATTATCAGAGAAGGAGAGGCAAAGGATGCTCAATGTATGATCGCAAAGTGCGCAGGACTGTAGTGCGCCATGCTAACTCGTCGCAGTCTTATCTCCCTAAACCTAACGATCCTCCGCCTACTCTAGGCTCAAGCTCTCAATCACAGCGACGGTCGCGGTTAGGACTTCGTCGCTTCATCCTGAACCAAATCCACGTCCTCATCTTTGCTATTATGCATGGGATCTTCTCTCTTTATATAAAGATACGCCAGACCTGGAACGTGGTGGGCTACCAGATTTCATCCGTTGTCAAATATCATCACGGCACACCGCAATACATCAAGAAGGACCTGGTTGGCTTGACGAAAAAGCCGAAGCATCTCAGTGTTATTCTAAAGCTCGAGGAGAACCATCGCACAAAGGCCGATGTTGAACGACTCCTTGACGAGGTAGCCGAGATTGCGACATGGTGCGCCTGCGCCGAGATTCCGATGCTCTCTGTGTATGAGAAGACAGGTTTGTAGTGGCACATGTGATACTTTTGTGCATATTCTAACGTATAGCAGGAATTCTCAAGAAGCACATGCCCCGAGTCTACGATGCTGTTAACCAAAAATTCGCGTTCTACTTCGGCCCCGAGCATCCTGGTCTTAGTGTCACATCACCTCATAAGGAGGACCTCCCAGCACCCTTTGGTGAGAAGCCCAAGGAGCATCTGCGTCTGCACCTAATCTCTGAGCAAGACGGCCGTGACTCCATGGTCGATCTCACACGTACCTTGGCTGAAATGTCACAGAGGGGCAAGCTTTCTCCTCACGATATCTCCATGGAATTGATTGATGCTGAGCTTTCTGAGGGCATCATGGATGAGCCTGATCTTTTACTTACGTTTGGCCCCTACCTCGAATTGTCGGGTTATCCTCCTTGGCAGATCAGATTGACTGAGATTTTCTGTTTGCAAGATAATGAGAGAGTCGGATACCAGGTCTTTCTCAAGGCCCTGCAGCACTACGGCAGAGCCCAGATGCGCCATGGTAAATAAGTGTCCTGTTGTCTGAACTTCCCTTTATTGTTGATATCTCATATACCTTTAAAATAATTCTATCGGGACTCATGGTTTCCAGAGCAACATTTCTCGGGCCTCCCTATTCCATCTGTACACTGGTCCTGTTCCTACATTGTAGTTGTAGTAATTATCTGTTCCTCCTTTGACCATCGCTCTCCGAAAAGTTATGTTGATCCTTCCGCCATCCTCTTGATTCTTCCCTGTTCGTTTTGGTATAGAGTGCAGCCAGTTAGACTGTGTTCTCCCTCTCATTAGCACCATGTCACCACTTCCCAGTGGTAGTTTGAGCGGTTTCGCGATCACGGAAGGGGGGCTGGAAGCATTCGGAGGTGGTGGCTTGTGCTTCATAAGAAAATCACGGCGTGCCCCTAATGAGAAAGAAGCGATAGCTGGATCTCGGCCCAAGAATTGCTCATCATCGCTGTGAAAGCTGATGCTGTCGGAGCCAGAGGCGTAATAGTTGACGAGGCAGAAGTTGTATTTACAGCCCGTAGCCAGCTCTGTTCTGTGACGAAGTTCATCGAGGCATTTTGGTATAAGCCTAGGAGGATATCTAGCGTATCGTTTATCCAATGCTCTCAAGCCTGTGTTGGCATCTACTGGAAGACCTTTGTTGTCGAATTTGGATGTTTCATCAAGACCAAACACAGTTGTCCATCTGATAGCTTGTGTCAGCGTCATTTCTTCTGACCAATTCAGCTTACCTTGGAGTTCGTATTTGGGTTTCTATGCCGCCTCGCTTGATCTTATACTCGACTCTGTAGAACGGGAGTTCTGCACGGAGGAACTCAAAGAGTCTTCGAGATACAGAACCTGAGATGAAGGGCTCAAAGTACAGTAGGTCAAGGTCAGGTTGGTCATTGATCTCTCTTCCGGGTTGGTCTGGCAGAGTAGACAGCTCCTTGCTTAGAGATGCTGGTAGGTTCTTGATGGGATGAGGGTAGAACTGATGCTCGGAATATGTGGTCTAGAGACATGTTAGAATTCGAGTTGGTGTATTCCTGTTACATTTTTATCTAGCATTATTGCTCACGTCTTCTGAAATCACGTCGCGAGAAGTAATTATTCCAGGCTCTGTTTTGGTTTTCTTTACTGTAGGGTTGAAGAAGGCATCAAGAGTACGCTTCTTAGACATGATGGCAGATGTTGTAGTTGGGCTGGTTTTCAGATCACTGCAGCCCCGGATTTGGGAGTTGGGTAGATTATCAGACTCTGAGCTGCTCTGCACGAATAACGATTATCAACCGTGAATATGTATCTTGAAGTCGTGACATCACTCCAAACTCCAAGCCTTGCGTCTAAGTGAAAGTGTGGCGTTTATATGTGGCTGTGCACAACTAACCATTTATATTCAAGCCCTAAACAGCTCAAACCAGCCTCATCTCCTAAGGGACCAGGGAAATAATGGTGAAGACCCTTGTTTGACTCATGTCAGTCAGTGCATTTTCGCCAAAAATTCAACAATACCTGAGGTCATTATGGATGTTAGTTCTCAACCCCTGTCACTAGATACAAGACAGAAGGAAACTAATGAGTACGAAAATATTTAGAAAAATTCTCAGTTGCGAGAAATGAATCTCTTCCGAGCACCAGCCGCTCGTGCGGCAAAGACACTCGATAGGTCTCTCTTTGCAAAGACTCTTAACGCGGCAGCGGCTTCTATCAAGGAGAATAAGCTCTTGTCCAAGTATCGAAGAGAGCTTGAGAAGACAAATGAGGTTCTATTTATGGAGAGATTTAATCCCATCTTGCCTGATCCAGACCCGTCACTTGCTTCTCAGGGCAAAAAGTGCATTGTGTTGGCTCCTCAGATTAAGTCTACATGTAAGTTGCAGAGTGTTGGACGAAATATTTGTAAAATGTGCTAATAGTGAATATTACAGCTCCAGAGACATGGAGTCCCATCCTCCAGGAAGCCTCGAAAGCCGGTGACATCAAGGTGGTGCCGTATGATGTTGAAATTGGATATGATTCTTGGTCATATCGTACGTATGCATACCTTCAATCACGAACGAACACTGATAAGTATAAGTTGATGTTATGAAATCCATTCTTCCAGAAGGACTCCATGAGGAAATCCCAAGTGGTTTCAATACCGTGGGGCACGTCGGTATGCTCTTCACTCATCAAAACTACTAGCGTCCTTGTTAACATATATACACAGCCCATCTCAACATCCGAGATCAGTACCTACCTTACAAGAACATTATCGCCCAAGTACTTCTAGACAAGAACCCTCACATCAAAACCGTTATCAACAAAATCGATAATGTCGGTTCAGAGAACGAGTTCAGAACTTTTGCCTACGAAGTCCTTGGTGGTCCTGATGATATGAACGTGGAGGTCAGCGAGGCTGGCTGCGTTTTCAAGTTCGATTACTCCAAGGTATACTGGAACAGCAAGCTCGACACGGAACACAAACGAATTGCAGGACTTTTCAAGCCTGGAGAGGTTGTTGCAGATGTCATGGCTGGTATTGGACCCTTTGCAGTGCCAGCTGGCAAGAAGGGCGTCTTTGTCTGGGCCAACGACAAGAACCCAGAGAGCTATCGCTACCTCGAGGAAGCGATCCGCAGGAATAAGGTGAGCTCATTCTGACTATCGTCTCATAATGGTTCGATATTCACATTTAAATGCAGGTCTCGGAGTTCGTCAAGCCTTTCAACTACGATGGCCACGGCTTCATCCGCACATCCGCAGACCTTGTCCTAGAGGCATCAAAGCGCGGCGACTGTGCCGTCATTAAGCCTCCAAGGCAACCAAGAAACTCTACGGCTCCCCCTCCGGAGCCTGTCCGAGTACCCGTACCGCCAACGATCTCACACTTTGTCATGAACCTCCCAGCATCCGCAATTGAGTTCACTCACAATTACCGCGGTCTGTACTACGGCCACGAGGAGCTGTTTGAGCCTCACACTGAGACCAAGCTCCCGATGGTGCACGTGCACTGCTTCTCGGTCAAGGCTGATGACGAAACACCCCTCAAAGACATCTGCGAGCGGATACGCAAAGAGATTGGCGTCTTACTCAGACCGGGCGATCCCGAGAACCAAGGTGAGGTGCTCATCTACGATGTGCGAGATGTTGCTCCAGCAAAGAGAATGTTTTGCGCTTCATTCCGTCTACCGCGTGAGGTTGCCTTTGCCGAGAGGGCTTAGACGGGGTCGGTCGATGTCGATGTTGATGTCGCCGGCAGATCTCGGACCCCGGGTGGGACTTGTCGGCCGGGCGAACGGCCGGAGGGGTCTTCCCTGCGCGGCGTGTTGTGTTATTCTCTGCTGTACTGTACTGTACTGTACTGTACTGTACTGTAACGTATCCGTGCCTCGATAGGATATCGATTGACCTACCAAATGCAGTACGAGGTCGGAAACTCTAAAGGAACAGACCAAGGCGCCTAGACTTGCGACGGATGCAACTCTACTGTACAGTCAAGAATAGGGTCGCATTTGTCGGGATATGACCGTCGATAATGAGGCGCTTACTTATCGCTGATATCTTGTCGTCTCCAAGACCCCCAGCCAAGCCAACTAGTGGCTGGGTGACTTCTACCGTGATCCGTTCAGGCACGATGACGCTCTCATGATAAATGATAAGTCAATGCAGTATAGAGAGCCGCGATAACGGTCTTGCGGGGATCCTTTGAACCGTTACAAAGCAGGACATAACAGAGCCAGAACAGATTTGCGTGCAGCCGGTCAGCGCAGTTTGCAGATATCCTGGCAGATCGACGGTACATCCAACTTATTGAAAACCTCTCCATTGCTTGTTTTGTTAGCAAAACAAGCTCACAAGGCGCCATACGTGGCTGACAAGGTCAAGACGTGGCAAACCCCTCACAACTGAGCATGAGCATGAACCCCTGGCATCCCTGCCCCCACTCACACTTTGCAGCAGTCACTGATGGGAACGGGTTGTGTTGCCCATCTCATCAGCGATGGCATCTTATCTTGGACACCCTTCTACGGACACCTGACTTCTTCTTGAACAACCCAGACACACCCCTCAAGCTCCTCCGGTATGCATCCTCGCACTCGTTGGTTTCACGGCATCACCGTTGGACTGCAGTCTGCATTGTAGTGCGTCGCGCATGCATTGGAGCTGACGCGCGCCCTGTTGTGTAACGTGGAAGAACGGAGCCAAGACTGTGGAGACCATAAGAGTTCGCAGAGGCAAATCAATCGCCCCGAGATATTCAAATCGACAGCGATTAAAAAGAAGTATTCGGTTCTTCTGCACGTTTTCAAAGACACACATGCTGTGGTGGACTCTGGGTGTGGCTGCATATTGTCAGTGTTAGTGTTAGTTATGTCATGATATCTCATATCAAAAACAAATTTCAGTTTCGCAACCCTCTTCAAAGGAACCATTTTTATTCTTCCTCTTTCAGTGATGTGCTTTCATAACTTCCCGCCATCCCGACCCCGAATCCAGGGTTACCTTGAAATCTAGGCGACCTCGGTGTGGTATTCCGTAACCCTACGCGCAGGTAGGGGTGCTGCCATCCCACGCAAATTCCCCTGACCGATCTACCATACACACATCCTTCAGCCATAAATAATGTCTGCAACTGCAAGCCATGGTCGCGCTGCGTTATCAGTAAGATACCAGAATACAACACCATGAGGCACGGTGCCATACGATCTTCGCAGCATCAATTGTAAGAATTGAGATAGTGCCAAGCTCGAAGCTTGTCAACTCAGATTGAAAGCGATGGTTTAAATACTTGCTGACAGGGTGCACTCGGCGGGTTCGAAATCCACAAAGTAACCGAGATGCAAAGCAACCCGAGCGTGACGAGACATATTTGGTGAAATGCTACCAGCTTTTGCAAATCCTAATGCCAACTGTGTAAACTGTGGCGAGAAATAGCCCATGCAAATGATTCCCTAAACTTGTCGTCCAAGCCCTCGGTGCGGGTCCGGATTTCTTCATCAGATGCAAGAGAAGCCATTCGGAAATCATGGTCATCATACTCACATCCAATTCAGTCCAACTCGTTGATCCTTTGAGGCGGCCCAGCGCATATCATCTATAGCTCAGGTAAATATATGTTTGATATTGCAACCTGGCGGTCTCTATCTTCCCCTCACAGATATCAGCGCAGGGCCATGCTGCAAGTCCAAAGAACGGGTTGCGGGAACTGCAACCCATGGAGGGAGGCTCTAGATGGAATTATCTAGTATCCGGGTCCATATGCAACGCACATCACCTATCTACATCAAAGGGCCATCTCCAATTAGGCTCTCCTGCAGCGCTTCGGGAACCAGGGTCTGCGAGGATGGGGTGTGGAGTATCGAGATGAGGAAGGGAGAAGTGGATGGTCAAGCCAGCCATGAGGCTGAAGACGTAAGTAGAGAGGTGACTCCTTCAAGATAGGGTTGCAATGGAGTTGCCGTGGGTGTTTCGATAACATCCATAACTGAGGTGATAAGTCAAGAGGTGGGATGTCCTAGCAAGATTCGCTGGCTTCGCGCCAAGTATGAGAGAATCGAGCTCATCATGATCATAGGGTTGGAGGTTCCCGATTCTCCAGGGGCTTTCTCGCCAAGGGTATTCGTAATATCTCAATTCATGATCCTGTTGGCCCTCGTATCGTGGCATATCTCACTGGAGGATGCACATGAATGAACCTTCACATGCCAAAGTGTGGCTTCTATTGATAGATCCGAATCTTGTTGGCCAATCCCAGTAATGGAGCCACATTACTAGGAAGAAACGAGAGTCGAATGCAGAAACTCCAACAGGCAGCCATTTGGCCATTGATCAAGAACCACAAATTACCCATAAATTTCTAGTTTCCACTTACTTGGTCCGAGACGATTTGCTTTCACAACCTCTCGGCCGACTCGACGTACGTGCAAACACCGAGGGGCAATTGTGCGATCTGATTGGCTCCATTGCCTAGAAATCGCTAGTGTTCGAGACTCGATTCCTGTACTAAGAGGAGCAGTTGTTGGAGAACTTAACTGCTTGACAAGCGACTGTACCCGTAAGAGTTCAGCAACATGAAAGATCCCTAGGGCATCATGGGGGAAGTGAAATCATTGGACGATGCATGCGCCTATGTTCTGATACTGTATCATCTTGACGCCAAACCGGGCTAACGGCATATTAACATGGACATCATGAGCA